AACTTTTTTTTTTTTTTTTTTTTTTTTGTGGCCTCAGCCCTCACCTGCTCATGAGACGCCACGGCGTTGCGAAAGTTCCCCAGCAGGTAGTGAGTGTTACCCAGGTTGCCGTACGTTCGACCCTGGGCGGCCCGGTCACCAAGCTCCTGCACGAGCACCAGGTTTGCCCTGAAAGTGCACGCGGGGATGACTGATAAACTGGATCATACAGGTGATATTAACACACACACACACAGTAAGTACACTGTGACATACTCGTAATATTCCGAGGCCTTCCTCAGCGCCGCCATAACGTCTTCTGGGAAATCTCCAGGCTCTGCTCCACTCCAGCAAATACTTTTTCCTTTCGCATGATACACGTTGCCAAAGTTGTAGAGAGCTCGCGCCTGACCCACCTGGAACCCACACATGAAAACTTTTTATATTTGGTATTAAATGATAATTGTTTAAGTCTGTATGCAGCACTAAGGGGGTCACCAACGTGGTGACAGCGGGCACCAGGTAGCCCCCAAGTACCACATGAGAGGCAACGAACAACCTGATGTTAAAAATAGCTTACCCAGTGATGGGATATTGTGATTTTCTAGGAATGGTCTAGATGTGATCAATTGTTAACGTGACCAATGGCAGAGATGTATAGAAATAAAGTTGTGCATATTTATATTTATCACTAATGAGTGACTTCACATAAATGAATCTCACTGTCTTTTAAACAACTAAACTAAAAAGCTCTCCCGCTCTTATTGGTCAGCTGCGGATGTAAACAGGAAGAAGCTTTGCAGTAGGGCAGGAGTAAGGAACAGCACACACAATTCGAACCCCCAGGCCCCGTGTTTATATTTGCCTACACATTAACTTTTTAAACCATGAACATACCACAAACTCTCACCTCCAAAACTTTCCCCCTTTCAGGGAACAGCAGTTACTGCATCTTTTTATTTAAAAGGTTACCTTGTCGCTGATGTCCCTCAAAAAAAAAAAGTGAGGCACATACGTTCATCTTGTCAGGCGTGAGGTTCATCAGCTCCAGGTTCTCCATGCTGCGCCTCCTGCTCATCCTCGGCCTCGCCCCTGCAACGCAGACCTGCTGACGGTGGCTGCCATTGGGAAAACATGGAAAACATTCAACGTCCCAAATCGCTCACCTTGCATCTTGTCGTCGATGTTCTCGGACAGGGTGGAGTTATTGGTGCTGTAGCTCAGGCCTAAGACCGTCTGCAGATCTGTGACGTTCATACGCGCCGTCAGCTCGCCGCTCCTGTCTCCGGTCTGGTACATTTTTTAACATTTGTTGACAAGTATTATTTAACTTTAAAACCGCAGGAATGATTGATTTCTTTTTTTTTTTTCAGCGAGGTCTGGTGCAGGTAATCAAGTGTGATGAAGGGCGACTTGACAAACCTCTCTGCAGATCTCCAGGTGTTTCTCAGCAAAGTGCATAGCCTGGTCGTGGCTACCAAGTGCAGTGTGGGCGTTTCCCAGACTCCAGCACGCTCGACCTTCGCCAATCCTGCACGCGCACGGCACTCTGGTTAAAGTAAGCGATGACCCTGATGGCTCCGGTGTGGTCGTGCGAGCGGGCGTACCGGTCATTGAGGTCCTGGGCTATGATGAGGTGTTTGAGGTGGTAGTCGATGGCTCTCTCGTAGTCCTGCAGCAGAGTGTACGTGTTGCCCAAACTGTAGCATGCCTGAGCCTCCACCGCCCGATCCTTCAGCTGTCTCGCCAGCTGCAGCGTCCTCCTGAAACACCGCGGACATTTCAAATCGTGCCTTGACATACAAGTGACCTGACTAATATTAAGTGCGCTGGACTACTTTGTCAACGCAACCACCTGAGCAAGTCGACTTACTTATAATGCTCGGCGGCCACTTCGAACTCTCCGAGGAAGATGTAAGCGTTGCCCAGGTTGCAGTAAGCACGTCTTTCCGCGGAGCGGTCACCAAATTCCTTTGCTATTAGGAGACGCTGAAGACAGATGGAACGATTTATTTTCCAGGGCAAATTTCCCACCCAAGATAATCAACTTTTTTTTTTTTTTTTTTTTTGTGGCCTCAGCCCTCACCTGCTCATGAGACGCCACGGCGTTGCGAAAGTTCCCCAGCAGGTAGTGAGTGTTACCCAGGTTGCCGTACGTTCGACCCTGGGCGGCCCGGTCACCAAGCTCCTGCACGAGCACCAGGTTTGCCCTGAAAGTGCACGCGGGGATGACTGATAAACTGGATCATACAGGTGATATTAACACACACACACACAGTAAGTACACTGTGACATACTCGTAATATTCCGAGGCCTTCCTCAGCGCCGCCATAACGTCTTCTGGGAAATCTCCAGGCTCTGCTCCACTCCAGCAAATACTTTTTCCTTTCGCATGATACACGTTGCCAAAGTTGTAGAGAGCTCGCGCCTGACCCACCTGGAACCCACACATGAAAACTTTTTATATTTGGTATTAAATGATAATTTTATAAGTCTGTATGCAGCACTAAGGGGGTCACCAACGTGGTGACAGCGGGCACCAGGTAGCCCAAGTACCACATTGTTTAAGTCTGTATGCAGCACTAAGGGGGTCACCAACGTGGTGACAGCGGGCACCAGGTAGCCCCCAAGTACCACATGAGAGGCAACGAACAACCTGATGTTAAAAATAGCTTACCCAGTGATGGGATATTGTGATTTTCTAGGAATGGTCTAGATGTGATCAATTGTTAACGTGACCAATGGCAGAGATGTATAGAAATAAAGTTGTGCATATTTATATTTATCACTAATGAGTGACTTCACATAAATGAATCTCACTGTCTTTTAAACAACTAAACTAAAAAGCTCTCCCGCTCTTATTGGTCAGCTGCGGCTGTAAACAGGAAGAAGCTTTGCAGTAGGGCAGGAGTAAGGAACAGCACACACAATTCGAACCCCCAGGCCCCGTGTTTATATTTGCCTACACATTAACTTTTTAAACCATGAACATACCACAAACTCTCACCTCCAAAACTTTCCCCCTTTCAGGGAACAGCAGTTACTGCATCTTTTTATTTAAAAGGTTACCTTGTCGCTGATGTCCCTCGCTATCTCCAAGTGCCTCTGACAGCACACCATGGCCTCATCGAACCTCCCCAGCACCTTCAGTGTATTGCCAAGATTCCCGCTGGCTTTGGCCTCGCCGAGCAGATCCCCGATGGTCCTGCGCGACAGAAACGCGTTTCAAAAGTGAGACCCGGCGTGACGGGATCGCTCTGGCGTGCCTGCGGTGACGCCAACCCCCGACCTGGTCAAGGTGAGGTCGTGCCGGTGGAACTCCAGCGCCTTGGCGTAGTCGTGCAGGTGTTTTTTTTTTTTCAGCGAGGTCTGGTGCAGGTAATCAAGTGTGATGAAGGGCGACTTGACAAACCTCTCTGCAGATCTCCAGGTGTTTCTCAGCAAAGTGCATAGCCTGGTCGTGGCTACCAAGTGCAGTGTGGGCGTTTCCCAGACTCCAGCACGCTCGACCTTCGCCAATCCTGCACGCGCACGGCACTCTGGTTAAAGTAAGCGATGACCCTGATGGCTCCGGTGTGGTCGTGCGAGCGGGCGTACCGGTCATTGAGGTCCTGGGCTATGATGAGGTGTTTGAGGTGGTAGTCGATGGCTCTCTCGTAGTCCTGCAGCAGAGTGTACGTGTTGCCCAAACTGTAGCATGCCTGAGCCTCCACCGCCCGATCCTTCAGCTGTCTCGCCAGCTGCAGCGTCCTCCTGAAACACCGCGGACATTTCAAATCGTGCCTTGACATACAAGTGACCTGACTAATATTAAGTGCGCTGGACTACTTTGTCAACGCAACCACCTGAGCAAGTCGACTTACTTATAATGCTCGGCGGCCACTTCGAACTCTCCGAGGAAGATGTAAGCGTTGCCCAGGTTGCAGTAAGCACGTCTTTCCGCGGAGCGGTCACCAAATTCCTTTGCTATTAGGAGACGCTGAAGACAGATGGAACGATTTATTTTCCAGGGCAAATTTCCCACCCAAGATAATCAACTTTTTTTTTTTTTTTTTTTTTGTGGCCTCAGCCCTCACCTGCTCATGAGACGCCACGGCGTTGCGAAAGTTCCCCAGCAGGTAGTGAGTGTTACCCAGGTTGCCGTACGTTCGACCCTGGGCGGCCCGGTCACCAAGCTCCTGCACGAGCACCAGGTTTGCCCTGAAAGTGCACGCGGGGATGACTGATAAACTGGATCATACAGGTGATATTAACACACACACACACAGTAAGTACACTGTGACATACTCGTAATATTCCGAGGCCTTCCTCAGCGCCGCCATAACGTCTTCTGGGAAATCTCCAGGCTCTGCTCCACTCCAGCAAATACTTTTTCCTTTCGCATGATACACGTTGCCAAAGTTGTAGAGAGCTCGCGCCTGACCCACCTGGAACCCACACATGAAAACTTTTTATATTTGGTATTAAATGATAATTGTTTAAGTCTGTATGCAGCACTAAGGGGGTCACCAACGTGGTGACAGCGGGCACCAGGTAGCCCCCAAGTACCACATGAGAGGCAACGAACAACCTGATGTTAAAAATAGCTTACCCAGTGATGGGATATTGTGATTTTCTAGGAATGGTCTAGATGTGATCAATTGTTAACGTGACCAATGGCAGAGATGTATAGAAATAAAGTTGTGCATATTTATATTTATCACTAATGAGTGACTTCACATAAATGAATCTCACTGTCTTTTAAACAACTAAACTAAAAAGCTCTCCCGCTCTTATTGGTCAGCTGCGGATGTAAACAGGAAGAAGCTTTGCAGTAGGGCAGGAGTAAGGAACAGCACACACAATTCGAACCCCCAGGCCCCGTGTTTATATTTGCCTACACATTAACTTTTTAAACCATGAACATACCACAAACTCTCACCTCCAAAACTTTCCCCCTTTCAGGGAACAGCAGTTACTGCATCTTTTTATTTAAAAGGTTACCTTGTCGCTGATGTCCCTCGCTATCTCCAAGTGCCTCTGACAGCACACCATGGCCTCATCGAACCTCCCCAGCACCTTCAGTGTATTGCCAAGATTCCCGCTGGCTTTGGCCTCGCCGAGCAGATCCCCGATGGTCCTGCGCGACAGAAACGCGTTTCAAAAGTGAGACCCGGCGTGACGGGATCGCTCTGGCGTGCCTGCGGTGACGCCAACCCCCGACCTGGTCAAGGTGAGGTCGTGCCGGTGGAACTCCAGCGCCTTGGCGTAGTCGTGCAGGTGGAAGTAGGCGTTGCCCAGCTGGCTGTAGATGGCGCTGAGCACCTGCAGGTCCTCCGTGCCCACCTGGATGGCGGCTTCGAAGAAGGATACGCCGGCTCTGTAGTCGCCCAACTTGCAGAGGCGCTCGCCCTCCAGCGCCAGCTCAAGGCAGGACACCTCCATCCTACAGTGGTCACGAGGTAAAAAAAAATTTACTTTTGGAATTGGGAAAAGGCTCTCAAGAGATGCGCAGTCATTCGGGCAAGATCACCAGAACCGAGTGGCCAAAAGCTTTGCGGGGCAGCGGAATCCTTCAGTAGAGGATGTTGTTTCACTGCTTCCTTCCATTTACAGAGAACAATGGACCCAGACTGTGGAACTGACTGAGCAGAGTGTACACGTACGGTTATGGTAGATGGCATCATTGAGTAGTAGAGTAGTCGGCTCTCACAGCAGAATCTGGATAGGTTGCAAGATGAGTGCATAAAAATCTTTCAATGCGTGTGCCTAAGTCCAACACGATGAGTTTCGACCAAAAATGGAGTATGTTTGCTTTATAGGCCGCATATGTTTAAAATAATATGAGGTCATTATTTACAGCAAATGACTTTATGGACTGTTTGTTGGGTTGATGTGTTCATGGTTTTCATCAGGCAAGGCCAACATAAAAGTCTCACTTTTGTGTCAGCGGGGAAATTTCCCTCTATTGTTCCAAAGACATCAAAAGACGCGAGAGCTTTTCAAGGTTGATTATCGACTCACACCCAGTCTCTTACAAATTGTGGATAAGTCACCCAAATACACTCGCGATGGGACTCCTCAAAGAGCTTTAAAGCGAATGGTAATGCAGTGGAACCTTGAGCTACGTGGTTCATTCATTCATGCTCGTCACTCAAAACACTCATTTCTCAAATCATCAATGCCCACTGAAATGAATGGAAATGCCATCAATCTGTTTCGTACGGTGGCCCCGAAGTGCATGACACACTATTCATTTGCAAATTACATCCATTTTTTTTGGCACAAATTAAACTACGACTGCTGCTAAACTCAAATACGCAATCGTTTTATGAAATTGTCGTTGTTTTTAGATTGTTCGTATGCATTACGTTGCCTTTGAGGATTAATCTTTTTTCATAGCCAGGTTTTTTTTTCTTTTAATATTCTTTGAAGGCAGATGAGCAAAATAAGAATTTCATTTTTGGGTTTTCCCATGGCGTTTTTACTTTGAAACATCTTGAATATTGACTCACATGAAATGTGCATCCTCATTGTGCGTACAAGCAAAGAGGGTTCGGTTAAGTAGATGTGACGCGTGCCGGCCTACCTGCAGCTTTTTCTTGCCTTACAACAACAGCAGCACATGGTGCAGCTGAGACGCATCTACTGAGGTTTCCGCTGCAGGAGAGGTGGAACCTCAAAAGAACAACTTTTTCTCTTTTGGTTCTCACGGAGATCAAATCAAAAAGTATATCTGTATTCCCGGTGACCTCAAAGTGTCTGACGTCAGCGATATCAAAGACGAGACGAACCCCCGAAGGCGTGTGACACCGTCGACCGTGTTAAGCCTAAATGCAAGCAAGGGCACGGGAAAGATGCGAGTCAGCGTTCTCTCGGCTCATCTTTATCGTCTTTCCCTCAAGGTCTCTCCTCTGACCTGGTCACGTGAGATTACAGCGGCAGGAGCGCAACAGATTACGGGTGGGGCGAAGGCTTTACGTAGTTTTATGTCGGGCAGATGGCCGCTTCGGTCCCATGGAGTCAATTACCATCCCGATAGTGTTAACGCGCACACAAAGCAAGCAAGGGATGAATATTTTAGAGCTTGTTAAATATTGACGCTATCTTCAACAGGAGCTTCGGCAGGTAATTCCAGATGCCAAAATACACCTGACATTAAATTCACAAGAAATTGGAAAGTGAAATTACATCCTGCCTTGTATCTGATGGACTGTCCAGAATTCCAATTGCAAAAATCTAGAAAATTGTCGAGTTATTCTTTGTATTAGCCGTCGTTGCAAAGAGTGATACATTCTGATAAGGCCGAGTATCTCGCCTCTGCTTATCGTTTTAGCAGTTTTTTTGTGTTTGTTTCCAGAAATATATTACAAAAGTTTTTGGGTTTTTTTCAAGCCATACAGGAGTGGTCGTAGTCATGACAAATAAAGTCTTGAGACTGCTTAAGGTTGAGAGGTGCCTTTGGCACTTAACGCCCATCTTGCCCCCCTATCTCGAGCCACCTCACTTATGACATCACCTCCTTCACGCGTGTATATCCATCAATTTCCTGTTCGGATACGCAGCAAGCCGGAGCCTCTCCTAGCCGAAAGGCGGACAGCACTCTGGACAGGTTGCCCGTCAATCACATTTACAGACAGACAACCGTTCACATTCACACTGACAGCGCCACTGAGTGGATGAAGCAGATTGAATTTCCCCTTGGCTAATCTCAACATGAATTTAATTGTTGAACATATTTTAAAAAATGCTCTTAAAGCATGTATGTCACGGTGAACAACAACTAAGCTGTGCAACTCTTTGAGTTGAGGCTCCTACCTGTAGCGGACATGGAAGGATTGATCCTCGGCTCGTGTGCTAATCACGGAGCCGTCGGTATCCATTGCTGTGCATAATATGAGGGAAAATCCTAATTTTGTTCCTGACCAAATGGTTGCGTTGAAAAGCGCACGCGCAAAGAAGTAGTTCAAAATTTAGGAGGACGGTTTGCTAATCACGGAGCCGTCGGTATCCATTGCTGTGCATAATATGAGGGAAAATCCTAATTTTGTTCCTGACCAAATGGTTGCGTTGAAAAGCGCACGCGCAAAGAAGTAGTTCAAAATTTAGGAGGAAAAATAATTAAAAAGTCCACAGAAGGGAGGCTAGCTAGTGAGTGTCCCCTGGGCTGCTTTGTGCGTCCCTCCCCCTCAGCGGCCCTCTGTGGAGAGAATACAAGATGCTGTGTGTGTGTGAAGCCTCTTTCTGACCACGCGCTGCCATGGCAACACCCACCAAAACAGCGCCGTGCGCGAGCTGAGTGAGGCGGGACGAGAGAGAGAGAGTGCAGGGCGGGAATGGAAAAGGATGGCGGTCAGCACATGCTAGCTGTCAATTAATGACGCAGGTTTGAGCTCTGAAGTTGCTGCACGGCGAGCCAGAAATGAGAACGGAAAGGCTTTAAAAAGTTGGACCCAAAAGAAACCCTGAAACAGTCCAGAACATCCTCCACGAGGAAGGGAAAAAGGCATGCCTGAACTACCCAAAGATAAGCAAGCGACCAGAGCCAACAATTAGCTCATTTCTCCATGAGGTCATGCAAGCCACACCAATGCATCTCCCCAAACTCGCACTTCTGCCACCGGAATCAGATAAGGTGTTTTCCCTTCATTCTTTACTTTAAACCAAAAAAAAAACACCAAAGATTCTTGAGCTCAATCTTTTCATTCAAAATATCTTTGAGTGAACCTCCACATATTTGCCTTTTGCTCTTCATAAATTCATCTATTTGCATTTTTTCCCCCCTCGGGAACCCATCCTGATGGCGCCACAAGTTTGTCTAATAGGAAAGTAGTAATTGGTGTCAAGGAAGTATTGTTGAAGAGATCCATCTTCCCTGGCGCATAGTTCTTTGTATGTTAGGGGAGGAGCTAAATTCAGCCTGGGTTAGCGACTGGTTCGCACGTCCGCCTCACACTGTAGAGGTGCAGGGTTCAATTCCAAGCCCCGGTCTACCTTTGGGGAGTTTGCATGTTCTCCCCGTGCCTGAGTGGGTTTTCTCCGGGTACACCGGTTTCCTCACATATTCCACAAACGTGCACCGTCGATTAATTGATCACTCTAAATGTTTCTATGAAACTGAAATGTTGCTAAGTATCTTGATGATGCAACGATGGATGACACATGCAAAGATGGACTATTTTGATTTACACAGGTGGTTTGCCAATGATACTAAACAACCTCCTAAGTATGGGCATGTAACAATGGCGGTCCCACTCGACATTCAAAAGCATATAAAAAGTAGAAATGTGTCAACTGTCAGTCGACTGCAAGGGAGTGTCTCTATTGACCAAGTCCATACATAGTATGGTACAATAATCCCTCTTGGACTAAAAAAAAAAACAAAAAAAACCCAAAAAGAAATCCTCATTGACACAGTCTGAGGAGTGGCTGTCTGCACCTTTCCCGCCATTGTCTGCCAAGAGGGTGTGCTTCTAACTGAATTGCGTTAAAAGCTGTTCGTTGACATGACATGTACGCGAGTGTGTGTGTGTTTGTGTGTGTGTGTGCGTGTGTGTGGGTGCGTGCACAGGTGAAGCACACTCACTAGACATTACATCAGGTGCACTTGCATTAGTGCAAGACTCCACTCGGTTCCAACATCTCGATTTCCTGATCGAGCGACATTAGATGGACAAAACTTTGGAAGCAGTCCTTAGTATGATACAGTGAAAGAAATCACAGTACTGTAATGTAATAACAGTTGCAAAAATAACTTCAACAGTCTGTCCAAAGAGAACAAAATTACACTCATTTGTGTCGGATGTCAGAAGATAGTGCAGGTGTATCTAATGAAGTGTCTACTGACTCAAGATTCCACAAAGAGGCTGATCAGCATTTATGAAAGAAATGAGTGCCCCAGACAGCACAAAGCCAGAAACCCATAAGTAAATGGAATAAAAATACAAAATCATGGCATACTGACCTGTAGCTCCTTCTCACGGGGGCAGGAAATCTAGAAAGCCTGTAGAGAATTTTTTTTTACCATTAATTATTTCAACTGTCATTTTTGTCCATAGTTTTCATCATAAATAACACTCTGTACTTGGAATCCATTATCCTTGAATTTTCACTGTAAACAGAAATGCCAATAGTGGCATCCAATACAAGAATGAATCATGAGTTAGAAGTTATTTACTATGCAAGTTTCAATATTACAACAAAGACTAGTTAACTCGATTCATCAATACCGTCCACAATACTTCTTTTAAAAAGTCAGCATGTTTCTCAAAAGTCAGCATTGTTTAATAGGTAATATAACTGGTTATTCCGAGTAGATATTAGACATATAAAATGCCCACCATTTTATATGTCTGGAAGTTTTATTCAAGAAACAAAGAACTGTGAATTACCGTCTAATTACAAAGTCAATGGTTAGCCGGTTAGCGAATTAGCTGAAAACTTACGTGAGTCGATCCAGTTCGAACAGGTCGTGTATTCTTCTCTCCTTGTTTCACTTTGTTAAACCCTACTCCCGTGCAAAAATAGACACATTGCGCATAGACGACACTATTCGATAGCCATAGTTAATTTTGTTAAACTTCGATGAGTAATTCAAGAAGGTTGCCTTTTTTTTTTTTTACTTTTTGTCCTTATCGTAGTGAAGTTTGTTTTTGGACAAGCAGCCAATCGGAGCGCGGTATTCAAAGAAAGCCACGCCCAGCCGTCCGTTCATTGGTCCAATATTTTTGAATAAAACGATGGCATGACGTAAGGTAAAGCCGCTGTCATTGAGCCATACAGACCGCAAAATATAATTGAATCATGATGCACTCGTGATGAAAGCTTTGATTCTATTTTTATTTAAATCAACTTTTTTTTTTTTTTTTTTTTTGTGGCCTCAGCCCTCACCTGCTCATGAGACGCCACGGCGTTGCGAAAGTTCCCCAGCAGGTAGTGAGTGTTACCCAGGTTGCCGTACGTTCGACCCTGGGCGGCCCGGTCACCAAGCTCCTGCACGAGCACCAGGTTTGCCCTGAAAGTGCACGCGGGGATGACTGATAAACTGGATCATACAGGTGATATTAACACACACACACACAGTAAGTACACTGTGACATACTCGTAATATTCCGAGGCCTTCCTCAGCGCCGCCATAACGTCTTCTGGGAAATCTCCAGGCTCTGCTCCACTCCAGCAAATACTTTTTCCTTTCGCATGATACACGTTGCCAAAGTTGTAGAGAGCTCGCGCCTGACCCACCTGGAACCCACACATGAAAACTTTTTATATTTGGTATTAAATGATAATTGTTTAAGTCTGTATGCAGCACTAAGGGGGTCACCAACGTGGTGACAGCGGGCACCAGGTAGCCCCCAAGTACCACATGAGAGGCAACGAACAACCTGATGTTAAAAATAGCTTACCCAGTGATGGGATATTGTGATTTTCTAGGAATGGTCTAGATGTGATCAATTGTTAACGTGACCAATGGCAGAGATGTATAGAAATAAAGTTGTGCATATTTATATTTATCACTAATGAGTGACTTCACATAAATGAATCTCACTGTCTTTTAAACAACTAAACTAAAAAGCTCTCCCGCTCTTATTGGTCAGCTGCGGATGTAAACAGGAAGAAGCTTTGCAGTAGGGCAGGAGTAAGGAACAGCACACACAATTCGAACCCCCAGGCCCCGTGTTTATATTTGCCTACACATTAACTTTTTAAACCATGAACATACCACAAACTCTCACCTCCAAAACTTTCCCCCTTTCAGGGAACAGCAGTTACTGCATCTTTTTATTTAAAAGGTTACCTTGTCGCTGATGTCCCTCGCTATCTCCAAGTGCCTCTGACAGCACACCATGGCCTCATCGAACCTCCCCAGCACCTTCAGTGTATTGCCAAGATTCCCGCTGGCTTTGGCCTCGCCGAGCAGATCCCCGATGGTCCTGCGCGACAGAAACGCGTTTCAAAAGTGAGACCCGGCGTGACGGGATCGCTCTGGCGTGCCTGCGGTGACGCCAACCCCCGACCTGGTCAAGGTGAGGTCGTGCCGGTGGAACTCCAGCGCCTTGGCGTAGTCGTGCAGGTGGAAGTAGGCGTTGCCCAGCTGGCTGTAGATGGCGCTGAGCACCTGCAGGTCCTCCGTGCCCACCTGGATGGCGGCTTCGAAGAAGGATACGCCGGCTCTGTAGTCGCCCAACTTGCAGAGGCGCTCGCCCTCCAGCGCCAGCTCAAGGCAGGACACCTCCATCCTACAGTGGTCACGAGGTAAAAAAAAATTTACTTTTGGAATTGGGAAAAGGCTCTCAAGAGATGCGCAGTCATTCGGGCAAGATCACCAGAACCGAGTGGCCAAAAGCTTTGCGGGGCAGCGGAATCCTTCAGTAGAGGATGTTGTTTCACTGCTTCCTTCCATTTACAGAGAACAATGGACCCAGACTGTGGAACTGACTGAGCAGAGTGTACACGTACGCCCTTATTTGTTATGGTAGATGGCATCATTTAGTAGTAGAGTAGTCGGCTCTCACAGCAGAATCTGGATAGGTTGCAAGATGAGTGCATAAAAATCTTTCAATGCGTGTGCCTAAGTCCAACACGATGAGTTTCGACCAAAAATGGAGTATGTTTGCTTTATAGGCCGCATATGTTTAAAATAATATGAGGTCATTATTTACAGCAAATGACTTTATGGACTGTTTGTTGGGTTGATGTGTTCATGGTTTTCATCAGGCAAGGCCAACATAAAAGTCTCACTTTTGTGTCAGCGGGGAAATTTCCCTCTATTGTTCCAAAGACATCAAAAGACGCGAGAGCTTTTCAAGGTTGATTATCGACTCACACCCAGTCTCTTACAAATTGTGGATAAGTCACCCAAATACACTCGCGATGGGACTCCTCAAAGAGCTTTAAAGCGAATGGTAATGCAGTGGAACCTTGAGCTACGTGGTTCATTCATTCATGCTCGTCACTCAAAACACTCATTTCTCAAATCATCAATGCCCACTGAAATGAATGGAAATGCCATCAATCTGTTTCGTACGGTGGCCCCGAAGTGCATGACACACTATTCATTTGCAAATTACATCCATTTTTTTTGGCACAAATTAAACTACGACTGCTGCTAAACTCAAATACGCAATCGTTTTATGAAATTGTCGTTGTTTTTAGATTGTTCGTATGCATTACGTTGCCTTTGAGGATTAATCTTTTTTCATAGCCAGGTTTTTTTTTCTTTTAATATTCTTTGAAGGCAGATGAGCAAAATAAGAATTTCATTTTTGGGTTTTCCCATGGCGTTTTTACTTTGAAACATCTTGAATATTGACTCACATGAAATGTGCATCCTCATTGTGCGTACAAGCAAAGAGGGTTCGGTTAAGTAGATGTGACGCGTGCCGGCCTACCTGCAGCTTTTTCTTGCCTTACAACAACAGCAGCACATGGTGCAGCTGAGACGCATCTACTGAGGTTTCCGCTGCAGGAGAGGTGGAACCTCAAAAGAACAACTTTTTCTCTTTTGGTTCTCACGGAGATCAAATCAAAAAGTATATCTGTATTCCCGGTGACCTCAAAGTGTCTGACGTCAGCGATATCAAAGACGAGACGAACCCCCGAAGGCGTGTGACACCGTCGACCGTGTTAAGCCTAAATGCAAGCAAGGGCACGGGAAAGATGCGAGTCAGCGTTCTCTCGGCTCATCTTTATCGTCTTTCCCTCAAGGTCTCTCCTCTGACCTGGTCACGTGAGATTACAGCGGCAGGAGCGCAACAGATTACGGGTGGGGCGAAGGCTTTACGTAGTTTTATGTCGGGCAGATGGCCGCTTCGGTCCCATGGAGTCAATTACCATCCCGATAGTGTTAACGCGCACACAAAGCAAGCAAGGGATGAATATTTTAGAGCTTGTTAAATATTGACGCTATCTTCAACAGGAGCTTCGGCAGGTAATTCCAGATGCCAAAATACACCTGACATTAAATTCACAAGAAATTGGAAAGTGAAATTACATCCTGCCTTGTATCTGATGGACTGTCCAGAATTCCAATTGCAAAAATCTAGAAAATTGTCGAGTTATTCTTTGTATTAGCCGTCGTTGCAAAGAGTGATACATTCTGATAAGGCCGAGTATCTCGCCTCTGCTTATCGTTTTAGCAGTTTTTTTGTGTTTGTTTCCAGAAATATATTACAAAAGTTTTTGGGTTTTTTTCAAGCCATACAGGAGTGGTCGTAGTCATGACAAATAAAGTCTTGAGACTGCTTAAGGTTGAGAGGTGCCTTTGGCACTTAACGCCCATCTTGCCCCCCTATCTCGAGCCACCTCACTTATGACATCACCTCCTTCACGCGTGTATATCCATCAATTTCCTGTTCGGATACGCAGCAAGCCGGAGCCTCTCCTAGCCGAAAGGCGGACAGCACTCTGGACAGGTTGCCCGTCAATCACATTTACAGACAGACAACCGTTCACATTCACACTGACAGCGCCACTGAGTGGATGAAGCAGATTGAATTTCCCCTTGGCTAATCTCAACATGAATTTAATTGTTGAACATATTTTAAAAAATGCTCTTAAAGCATGTATGTCACGGTGAACAACAACTAAGCTGTGCAACTCTTTGAGTTGAGGCTCCTACCTGTAGCGGACATGGAAGGATTGATCCTCGGCTCGTGTGCTAATCACGGAGCCGTCGGTATCCATTGCTGTGCATAATATGAGGGAAAATCCTAATTTTGTTCCTGACCAAATGGTTGCGTTGAAAAGCGCACGCGCAAAGAAGTAGTTCAAAATTTAGGAGGAAAAATAATTAAAAAGTCCACAGAAGGGAGGCTAGCTAGTGAGTGTCCCCTGGGCTGCTTTGTGCGTCCCTCCCCCTCAGCGGCCCTCTGTGGAGAGAATACAAGATGCTGTGTGTGTGTGAAGCCTCTTTCTGACCACGCGCTGCCATGGCAACACCCACCAAAACAGCGCCGTGCGCGAGCTGAGTGAGGCGGGACGAGAGAGAGAGAGTGCAGGGCGGGAATGGAAAAGGATGGCGGTCAGCACATGCTAGCTGTCAATTAATGACGCAGGTTTGAGCTCTGAAGTTGCTGCACGGCGAGCCAGAAATGAGAACGGAAAGGCTTTAAAAAGTTGGACCCAAAAGAAACCCTGAAACAGTCCAGAACATCCTCCACGAGGAAGGGAAAAAGGCATGCCTGAACTACCCAAAGATAAGCAAGCGACCAGAGCCAACAATTAGCTCATTTCTCCATGAGGTCATGCAAGCCACACCAATGCATCTCCCCAAACTCGCACTTCTGCCACCGGAATCAGATAAGGTGTTTTCCCTTCATTCTTTACTTTAAACCAAAAAAAAAACACCAAAGATTCTTGAGCTCAATCTTTTCATTCAAAATATCTTTGAGTGAACCTCCACATATTTGCCTTTTGCTCTTCATAAATTCATCTATTTGCATTTTTTCCCCCCTCGGGAACCCATCCTGATGGCGCCACAAGTTTGTCTAATAGGAAAGTAGTAATTGGTGTCAAGGAAGTATTGTTGAAGAGATCCATCTTCCCTGGCGCATAGTTCTTTGTATGTTAGGGGAGGAGCTAAATTCAGCCTGGGTTAGCGACTGGTTCGCACGTCCGCCTCACACTGTAGAGGTGCAGGGTTCAATTCCAAGCCCCGGTCTACCTTTGGGGAGTTTGCATGTTCTCCCCGTGCCTGAGTGGGTTTTCTCCGGGTACACCGGTTTCCTCACATATTACACAAACGTGCACCGTCGATTAATTGATCACTCTAAATGTTTCTATGAAACTGAAATGTTGCTAAGTATCTTGATGATGCAACGATGGATGACACATGCAAAGATGGACTATTTTGATTTACACAGGTGGTTTGCCAATGACACTAAACAACCTCCTAAGTATGGGCATGTAACAATGGCGGTCCCACTCGACATTCAAAAGCATATAAAAAGTAGAAATGTGTCAACTGTCAGTCGACTGCAAGGGAGTGTCTCTATTGACCAAGTCCATACATAGTATGGTACAATAATCCCTCTTGGACTAAAAAAAAAAACAAAAAAAACCCAAAAAGAAATCCTCATTGACACAGTCTGAGGAGTGGCTGTCTGCACCTTTCCCGCCATTGTCTGCCAAGAGGGTGTGCTTCTAACTGAATTGCGTTAAAAGCTGTTCGTTGACATGACATGTACGCGAGTGTGTGTGTGTTTGTGTGTGTGTGTGCGTGTGTGTGGGTGCGTGCACAGGTGAAGCACACTCACTAGACATTACATCAGGTGCACTTGCATTAGTGCAAGACTCCACTCGGTTCCAACATCTCGATTTCCTGATCGAGCAACATTAGATGGACAAAACTTTGGAAGCAGTCCTTAGTATGATACAGTGAAAGAAATCACAGTACTGTAATGTAATAACAGTTGCAAAAATAACTTCAACAGTCTGTCCAAAGAGAACAAAATTACACTCATTTGTGTCGGATGTCAGAAGATAGTGCAGGTGTATCTAATGAAGTGTCTACTGACTCAAGATTCCACAAAGAGGCTGATCAGCATTTATGAAAGAAATGAGTGCCCCAGACAGCACAAAGCCAGAAACCCATAAGTAAATGGAATAAAAATACAAAATCATGGCATACTGACCTGTAGCTCCTTCTCACGGGGGCAGGAAATCTAGAAAGCCTGTAGAGAATTTTTTTTTACCATTAATTATTTCAACTGTCATTTTTGTCCATAGTTTTCATCATAAATAACACTCTGTACTTGGAATCCATTATCCTTGAATTTTCACTGTAAACAGAAATGCCAATAGTGGCATCCAATACAAGAATGAATCATGAGTTAGAAGTTATTTACTATGCAAGTTTCAATATTACAACAAAGACTAGTTAACTCGATTCATCAATACCGTCCACAATACTTCTTTTAAAAAGTCAGCATGTTTCTCAAAAGTCAGCATTGTTTAATAGGTAATATAACTGGTTATTCCGAGTAGATATTAGACATATAAAATGCCCACCATTTTATATGTCTGGAAGTTTTATTCAAGAAACACAAAGAACTGTGAATTACCGTCTAATTACAAAGTCAATGGTTAGCCGGTTAGCGAATTAGCTGAAAACTTACGTGAGTCGATCCAGTTCGAACAGGTCGTGTATTCTTCTCTCCTTGTTTCACTTTGTTAAACCCTACTCCCGTGCAAAAATAGACACATTGCGCATAGACGACACTATTCGATAGCCATAGTTAATTTTGTTAAACTTCGATGAGTAATTCAAGAAGGTTGCCTTTTTTTTTTTTTACTTTTTGTCCTTATCGTAGTGAAGTTTGTTTTTGGACAAGCAGCCAATCGGAGCGCGGTATTCAAAGAAAGCCACGCCCAGCCGTCCGTTCATTGGTCCAATATTTTTGAATAAAACGATGGCATGACGTAAGGTAAAGCCGCTGTCATTGAGCCATACAGACCGCAAAATATAATTGAATCATGATGCACTCGTGATGAAAGCTTTGATTCTATTTTTATTTAACCATTTGAAGCTTGGAACGTGAATTGAAAGACAACTTCTGCTGGGTTAACAGAAATAATTCACCCTGGCTGAAAAAAAATAAAGTACAGTGATATATGTATCTGTAGGATATTCCTGACAATGCAGTGACGGTGACATCAAGATCGTCCATTTTGTCTTTGAAAAAAATTACAAGAAAGTCCAGTTAAAATCCAGGCGTCATTTCAGGTGCCGTTACTAAGCAACCAGACGCCTGGACAGCTGACAGTTCAGGACCAGATGGACACCACTCACATGTGCAATATTAATGATGGCACAGAAACAAAACCTGTCCAAGAAAGTATATGCCAAGACAGGAACTGGGAGACGCTTTGGACTTATTTTCTTTCGGCAATACACCAAGCGGTGACGTCTTGTTTCAGGTAGGATTTTTTAGATTTTTTTAGAACCCACTACTCATCAGATAAGCATTTGAATGTAGATGAAAAGTAGACAACTGTGACAGACTGACTTTATGCTACATGCAAGAAGAGAACATACATTTTAGGATATTATCCAAGACTTATGATTTTTTTGTGTGTAGTATTATAGGATTCTCAATTATTGTTTTTTTCCATATTTGATACAGGTTATTTGGTGTTTGTTTATATGCTGCGTATTCATGGGCAGGATTATAAGGAAATTTCACTTGGCATTGCTGTAAATCTTAATGATGTAGATTACATTGTACATTAGATTATGTTCTCCAATACTTGCTTTACTTAAATCTATTAGATTTGTTAACTTGTTCCATCCCCCCACCCCCCAAAAAAGAGAAAGTCTGATCGTTGGTCATGGAGGGGGAACAAGAAGATTCCGACGAGGACGTTCAGGAAGAACATAAAACAACTTTATTATGGGAAAAGTGCATCCGGCAGAGAATCGTGGTGGATCTCTGTGAGGATGACAGTCTGCCCCTCAGTGATCTACAGGCTTCTTTAGCTTTGCATCCGTCACATGCAGAGTCTGCCATGTCTGAGGCCAGCATTCATTTCAGTGGTGAGTCTCATACACCACACAGTTTGACAACTGCAACAATTTTGACTGTGTCACAGTTGAAGACACGAAGCAATAAATGTAAAAATAAAATGCAGGCTCCAACATATATACTTAAACTATAATTAAAAATGGCAAAACTAGGATGGTTGGCCATAAAAAGTAGCTGTATCTCTCTTTACAGTACATTAAGAGGGTGCAATGGTTCACATTTCCAACATGTGCAAAACACACTCCATTGACAAAAGTATTGGGATATATTGGTGCATCACTTTTCACATACAATATTTTTCACAATAACAATAGAAGAAAACTGAGTTGGCAGTTGCAAAATTGCCATCTGGCAAGAAGGTTTGTGAAAACTGCTCAATGACGTCTGTCCGAATGGTACTTGAAACAAAATAGAAAACCGAATGTGTATTGTGACTTTTGGAACGCCATGTTCATTATCTTTGCGTTCAACAAAACAGAACCAGATTTCACACTGAGTACAAGGAAATATGTGAGAAAATTAAGGCAAGCTCAGCATTTTTCACTATACAGGGATAAAGAATTTGAAATATTTTTTTGTTTGATTGAAGATAATACAAAATTGTTTCTTTCCAGATGACACTGCCTCAGACTCCATTCTTGTCAGCGAGGGGGTGTTACCAACTAAGAGCCGCACATTGCAGAATGAAGAACTCCTAAACCGGCATCATGAGGACGCCGGTCAAAATACGAGCGATGAGGATCAGGAGGATCTCCCTTATGACGGCGACCTTGGCGGTCCTTACTTCAACGGCATGGATGGCTGTCAGAGTAACGTGACCTCTGATGGAAGACAATCGGCGACAAATGCCGGTTCTACACACAACGATTTGGTTTCGGTTATTCCTCATGAGGAGAAAGAAGAAGAGGATGTCAATGACGAACAGGATGAAGAGGTAGCCCCGCCGTGCACTCGACCTCTAGTTGACATTAGCCAGGTGTTGCTGTGGCATTTCTCTCAGGAGGAGTTGCTGCAGACTGGAAGGCTAATTGAAGCCGAGACGCTTCCGGAGGTCTCCATGCTGGAGAGTATAGACGACCTTATTTGTAGCGTGTCGACACTCAGCAACAGAAGTGTCAGATATTTGGACAGTGATGGAAACAGTGGATCAAAAGGTGAATGTCTGGAGGGGAACAACACAGCGTCCAGTCGAGATGAAAATGTCACAACACCAGCAAAGGCCGAAGATTGTGAAGTTCCGATCAGGAAAGTGTCACATTTGCGTAGCAGGTCCTACGGCGAGTTGAAGTACGGTCAGGGTCAAGTCCATTTCCCTCTCCCTGACTTCTCTAAGGTTTCCCCGAAAGTCAAAATTCCAAAAGGTCCCAGTGGTCTAGCTCGGCTTGTTCCTCAGGTCCCCAGTCCCATAATCCGAGTCCAGTCCTCCCCGGGAATGTTAGAGGTTATCAGCAGGGTGCTGGAGGATTCAGGCCTTCAGTCTTCACATAAGCCTCAAGTCCTCAAAGACATGCAGGACCCGACTGGTCCTGTCCTGGTGCTTCCCTTACAGGTACCGTAAACCCCTTTATCGTCTGTTTCATTTAATCGAAATTGAATTTGGGGGCCCTCTATTTTTGCTATTTTGAAATTGAATCTTTTTAATAATTAAGTCTTCAAACAATGTAATTTGGGGGAGGGAGGTTAAATCTTGTGCCATGAGCGGCTTCATAGACCAAGGGTAGTCTTTTGGTACCCTCTTGTGGCATCTGTAGGTAGTTACAAACAATCTGAATACGATAAACTGCTGGCCAAATATGCCACGGCTGAGAACGTCATAGATAAAATGAAGGTAGGAACCAATGTAAGTACATTTTAGATCTGATCCAATAATAAATAATTCAGTTAAGAAAAAAAACTGAGCTTTTGCGCATAATGTTTGTTTCCAGTCTACCGCTGACATTTGCATTGAAGATGTCCCAGGAAACTCCACTGAGGCCGAGCATGATGTTGGACCTGAAGGTGCTCACATTCCATCACTGGGTATGTGGCTGCATACGACATGCGATATTATGACCGGACAGGGCTTTGCTTCACCAGCTGCGAACAAACCAAAGGATACACGGCTTGTTTCCAAGGAAACAAATGGGGTCAAGTGACAGGATTCTGGTTACACGGCCGTCTTTTTGTCTTTAACCTGCTTAAGTTGCATGAAAGTCACTGACTGTAAACGCAAGTTACGGTAATATAAATAGGATGACTATTACAATAACAAACTTTTTGAGCCATTTCTCCTTATTCTGCAAAACATGTTTGACCTTCCATCAATTCCTTTTTTCTCTACTTATGATCTTATGACATTACTTTTCTCTAAAACCTATTTCAGACAATGTTGTTGAAAAAGTAACAACAGTCCGCCAGGATGAGATGACGCCGAATGAATCTGATCAAGATGGCACGAGTGAAGCTGACAAAATGGCCGCTGAGCTGAGAGCGCTCATTAGCGAGTTCATGCAAACAGTCGGTTCCCCAAAAGTTCAATCCACTCGACTCATCTCACAAAACAACACCAAAAAACATTGACAAAACATCTTCTGCCCAGGTGGATGAGTTCAAGCGGAATGTGAGCGACATGTCGGGTAGCACAGAAGAGCAGCAAACAGTGAGTGGTGACTGGAATACGGAGGTGAGCTGTGTGTGACTTTAACTGCCGTTTGCTGGTAGATGTTGAGGAGCTTGCTGGAAGCGCAGGACCAACTGGAAAGAAAATACATGAGCAAGAAAGAAGAGCACCGCGCCCTGGAAATGCAGAATTATTTAGGCCTGTGCAGAAACATCGGAACGTTTGACCCGAACAGGTGTGCCTTCAATGGATTGAGCAACATTTGTGCACGTTGTAGTCACGCCCTTGTCTGTTAACATTCGTGCAGACTGGTGGAAGGGGATATTTTTCGGGTCGGTATGCACCTGGAGGATATTAAGGAGATGATTGACAAAAATATGCACAAGCGCGTCGTCCCGCCTCTCTTGTCGTCAACTCCCACAACAAGGCACCAATCAGCGAAGGCCTCACTTCCACCATCACTGCATGAGGTAACACACGTTAGGTTGACTTGAGTTGGATTTTACACTAAAAGACAATTATTACTTGTACTATGGAGTTTCAAAGCATGTCCGAATGTTTTGTTTTGTTTCTAGAGGGGAATGCGGCAGTATTTGTTTCGGCGGGGCTCACACAGTAATAGTTATGACATTGCAGGAAACAAAAATGCTGCTGTTGTTGAACTTAAAAATCACCTAAAAAGTTTCCTTGTATCTCTGGTTAAAAAAAAAAAAAAGTAAAAAAATGGCTGACCAATGTAATTTGAGATGCAAGTGTTTTGAGATACCAGCAAATGTGGGAGGAAACCGGAGTACCCGGAGAAAACCCACGCAGGCCCGGGGAGAACATGCAAACTCCGCACAGGGAGGCCGGAGCTGGATTCGAACCCGGCACCTCTGCACTGTGAAGTCGACGTGCTAACCACTGGACTACCGGGCCGCCCTTCCTTGTATCTCTGGTTAAAAAAAAAAAAGTAAAAAAATGGCTGACCAATGTAATTTGAGATGCAAGTGTTTTGAGATACCAGCATGGTCAAGAAATAAATTAAAGCTATTCTCATCGACTCTGTGCTCTATTAATCAATGTGTGCATCATTCATTTGTTATAAGCAAATACATGCTATAATGTGATATTTTTCAGTAATGATATTTTTTTACTATTTATTAAAATAAACGCATTCATTCTTTATTATTTCGAATTTATCCGAAGGTCAATTTGAAGTACAATATTCCAGTTTAAGAGAAAGATAAACATTTTACAGTGCTTTGTTGACCACCCCAGCATATTTTTTTCGAGCAGTTGTTTTATTGCTGACACACTTCATTGGTTGTTGTGCCCTCACCCTGTTTCATTTGTATTTTAATTCACATTTGAGTGTGTAGCCCATGTGAGGGGAAAAAGGCGTTAACTTTGTGACCGTGTCTCATGTTTCAGGGGTCGAGTGTAAATTTGACCACTGAGTGTTTGAGAACGGAGACAAAGACTGAGGCACAAAAGGAGGATGAGACTGGTAAAAATGATCGATTAGAGGACAGGAGTGAGCCCCTCAGCAATGACTCATTGCAAGTCAACAATCGGTGAGGATGTTGTTTTCTCTGATAAATGATGGCTTGATTTTCATATTTATATATTCATATTTTTTAATAGTCATGATGACGAAAAGACGGAACGATATACTGTTAAATGGCATCCCTTTTATTCTTCTGCTCCTCAACTCCTTCAATACACAATTGATCATTGATCACTCAATCATCAGAATCCCTACCGATCGGTTGAAGATCTGATGAATTATTATGCCCACGCCTAGGCAGAAAATACATAACAAACTGGGATATAGAACATATTGTACCACACTACAGCTTATTATCCACAGCCGCTATTCATTGTCTTCTTCCTGCAGGCAGATTGTGTTTCGGGTTGCCGTGTCGGTGTTTGGTTTCCATTGCTCCCAGTTTAAGAGCGTTTGGGATTGCGTGCAGGCTTTCTGTTTGCCCGGAGGTGTCTGCGGAGGGACCTCTGGATGCTGATGCTGATGCTGAGCAGTTCCGCGGCGAAGAGAAACAATCTGCCTCGCTGGAGGGAAGAGCTCGTAGCAGTGACCCTTGGAGTGGAATTATTGGGAAATGGAAATCGGGAAGGTCAGTGTTGTTATTACGGGTGCATTAAATGAGTTGGTATCATTAAAAGCTGTCAAATCTTCCCGCTGCAGTTGGGAAATGGAAATCGGGAAGGTCAGTGTTGTTATTCCGGGTGCATTAAATGAGTTGCTATCATTAAAGCTGTCAAATCTTCCCGCTGCAGCAGTGGCATGCAAGATGGCGCTGTAAACCGAGAATGTGACGTTGGTGATGGGGCCAGTCTGGCTGTGGAGGTCTCCTCTTCCTCTGACGCATGCTCATCATTAGCGCAGGTCAACTTGAATGTCCTTTTTGCTTGGTTTGCATGTTGATGTAGACGTGAGGAACTTGCTGGTTTTGTCTGTGGGCGCAGGGGGCTGTGTGCAGAGAGACAGACAGTGGATTTGGGAGCTCCTACTTGAATCGTTCCGGTGGAATACCGCAGCTTAATCCTTCCACGGAAAGGTACACGATATGATCAGAAACACCCATATTTGTTTACAACCTAAATTCGAATCCGCCGATGTGACTTAAACTCATACTGTTTTTTTTTTGTTTGTTTTTTATAATCGTGACATTATCGTTGATTAAAGGTCCAGGTACAAATGTACAGTTTGTTTATATCACATTTCAATGGTTCCAATATGATTTTACTGCATAACCCTTCCCCAGAGTGCCCAGTGATGGACTTGGTACGCCGGATAGTGAAGGCTCCTCCTTTCATCTGCTGACAACTGTTCATCCAAAGGATGTAAGCAGCCAACGACAGAAGTCGCCGGTCCAAGCACAGCCTGAAGGTTCAGCAGCCACAGTAGAACAATGGGTGCAGAATATCCTTAAAAAGTCGTCTCTCGAGCTGCAGGGTGAGTTAATCCTCTCATCATTGCAGTGATTATTCAAGTCAATCTTCATCCATACCCTGAACAGGTCCTGATGCAAACAATCGCTACGCCTCTGAAACTATCCTGAGCCCTTTGATGGATGTAGAGCAGAGACAACGCCATCTTTGCTCCTGTAATAGGTCAATACCTACAAATGACTCTTGGTTTTTGACTAGATTACCGATTACACATCAGCGGTTTGTGTTTTTGTCCATCCAGTGAGGCTATCCTGGCCTTGCAGGTAGAAGTGTCCAGACTGAAGAAAGACCTCGAAAAGGGTCTGGTCCAGTTGCCTCACCTGGCAAGGAAGATGGATTACCTGGCCTCCAAATACAGGCAAGATCGTCAAGAACGTAGATCCAAGACCAAAAGCAGAGCCTACCACAAAACAACCAGGTGGGAGGAAATGATGCACGAGGATTAATAAAACGCTGCAAACTAATGTAATCATTTTAAACTTTAGCTTGTGGAAGTCAACAAGCAGCAGACAAAGTCTGAGGGATTTCAGCTCGAGTCAGTTAGCACTGGACGACTGGATTTCAACAGATATGGACCCCAGCAGGAGCAAAGGTTCTCCACAACTTGAGTGTTTTAAAGTAACGTGACAGTAATCCCCGGGCTATTCCGGGACTGAGACATGTTGCGAATTATATAATATGATGCAGCCGGAAAGTTTTCACAGTGCTACACGTTTTCCACATTCTGTTATGGTCCGCCCTCATTCCAAATGGGAATAAGTTCATTTTCCCTCAAACGTCATCATATAACAGCCAATAATGACAACATGAATGTATTCAAAATAGAGAAAGCATAGAAAAAAAGTGAAGCGCGTGCATTGTTTATGTTATTCCCACCAGAGGCCATCATGGATAACCTTTACTCCAAAAACAGACGGCTTCTTCTCGCACTTCAGCCTACCCAAAGGCCACTGCTTCAACTCAACTATGGCTCCTCGTGCAGTCTACCTGCCAGGTAAAAACACAAACACATCATCACCACTTCCCAAGCAAAGAGTCCACATTCAACTTTCTTGTCATATTCAGTTACAAAGTAAAGGAACCACCAACTCACGTGACCAATGACCGGAAGCGTTCCACCCAGTCGGACACAGCTCTGCTCCCCAGCGAAGTGTACTTTCAGCCCACTCTGCCCCACGTCTTCCAAACGCCCGGAAGCAGGACAGGAAGCAAGGTGGTCTTTAGCCCAAATACTACCCATGACTGACAAACACCTGATGTTTATTTTCTCCTTTTGTTTTTCAAGGAGGAGGAAATGAACAGGACTCTGGACCAAGCCATTGAGGCCGCTCGCAGCATGAAGAAGACCACGGGAACTTAAAAATCACCTAAAAAGTTTCCTTGTATCTCTGGTTAAAAAAAAAAAAAAGTAAAAAAATGGCTGACCAATGTAATCCAAAGCTCAACTCCTCCCCAAAGGGGAATGTGCAGCATTCAGCGGCGAGGGTGCAAGAAACATTGCGTGGCTTCACACAAAAAGAGCGCAGGATCACAAGAGACAGTTTCTTTACCCAGTACGCCATATGGACGAAAGCATTTGGCCTGACGCGTCGGAACTCTATGGCGTGCCCAGGAACAGGAAAAACAAATACAAACAGGCAAAATCGTTCCTTACTATTTCTTTATGACGCTCAGAAAATGTAGCATTTTATGCTTTCAAATAAAGGCAGAGTCACTCATGAGATGGATTCAAAATTGTCAAAATTTTTAATACGTCAATTTGTGTGACTTTTATAGACTGATTCCCATCAGGTTGTCATTTGATGCTTCCGATCCGCCACAGGGCGAAAGACATAAACGCTGAATGACATTTAAAAAAAATGGGTCAGAATAACATTACAGGAAAATCCCCTTGTGTCAAATGAGTAGCAAGTTTAGTTCTTCTAATGACACCGCCGCCTATTTAGACATGTCCAATTGGCCATCCCGCGGGCTTATGAGCACCAAATGTGTATTCTTGCTGGGTTTCTGTTTGGGTTGCTTTGTGGATCCAATACATTTACTGCCAACGCCTGTTGGTGCTGGAATGGGTGCACTGTTAGTAGTTCAAATTCTATATCCAAGCTACTCCACTGACCTGTAATTTACTGTAACTGGAGTAGTGTAACTGTAATTAACCTTTTTTTTTTAAATATATACATTCCAATCTACGAAATAAGAGCTTCCTTCACTCACCTGCATAGGCCACCCAAGCCACCCAGAGGGGAGGAGTTTCAGCCCCTGGGCTCTTTGGGGTTTTGTCTGTGGGCGCAGGGGGCTGTGTGCAGAGAGACAGACAGTGGATTTGGGAGCTCCTACTTGAATCGTTCCGGTGGAATACCGCAGCTTAATCCTTCCACGGAAAGGTACACGATATGATCAGAAACACCCATATTTGTTTACAACCTAAATTCGAATCCGCCGATGTGACTTAAACTCATACTGTTTTTTTTTTGTTTGTTTTTTATAATCGTGACATTATCGTTGATTAAAGGTCCAGGTACAAATGTACAGTTTGTTTATATCACATTTCAATGGTTCCAATATGATTTTACTGCATAACCCTTCCCCAGAGTGCCCAGTGATGGACTTGGTACGCCGGATAGTGAAGGCTCCTCCTTTCATCTGCTGACAACTGTTCATCCAAAGGATGTAAGCAGCCAACGACAGAAGTCGCCGGTCCAAGCACAGCCTGAAGGTTCAGCAGCCACAGTAGAACAATGGGTGCAGAATATCCTTAAAAAGTCGTCTCTCGAGCTGCAGGGTGAGTTAATCCTCTCATCATTGCAGTGATTATTCAAGTCAATCTTCATCCATACCCTGAACAGGTCCTGATGCAAACAATCGCTACGCCTCTGAAACTATCCTGAGCCCTTTGATGGATGTAGAGCAGAGACAACGCCATCTTTGCTCCTGTAATAGGTCAATACCTACAAATGACTCTTGGTTTTTGACTAGATTACCGATTACACATCAGCGGTTTGTGTTTTTGTCCATCCAGTGAGGCTATCCTGGCCTTGCAGGTAGAAGTGTCCAGACTGAAGAAAGACCTCGAAAAGGGTCTGGTCCAGTTGCCTCACCTGGCAAGGAAGATGGATTACCTGGCCTCCAAATACAGGCAAGATCGTCAAGAACGTAGATCCAAGACCAAAAGCAGAGCCTACCACAAAACAACCAGGTGGGAGGAAATGATGCACGAGGATTAATAAAACGCTGCAAACTAATGTAATCATTTTAAACTTTAGCTTGTGGAAGTCAACAAGCAGCAGACAAAGTCTGAGGGATTTCAGCTCGAGTCAGTTAGCACTGGACGACTGGATTTCAACAGATATGGACCCCAGCAGGAGCAAAGGTTCTCCACAACTTGAGTGTTTTAAAGTAACGTGACAGTAATCCCCGGGCTATTCCGGGACTGAGACATGTTGCGAATTATATAATATGATGCAGCCGGAAAGTTTTCACAGTGCTTCACGTTTTCCACATTCTGTTACGGTCCGCCCTCATTCCAAATGGGAATAAGTTCATTTTCCCTCAAACGTCATCATATAACAGCCAATAATGACAACATGAATGTATTCAAAATAGAGAAAGCATAGAAAAAAAGTGAAGCGCGTGCATTGTTTATGTTATTCCCACCAGAGGCCATCATGGATAACCTTTACTCCAAAAACAGACGGCTTCTTCTCGCACTTCAGCCTACCCAAAGGCCACTGCTTCAACTCAACTATGGCTCCTCGTGCAGTCTACCTGCCAGGTAAAAACACAAACACATCATCACCACTTCCCAAGCAAAGAGTCCACATTCAACTTTCTTGTCATATTCAGTTACAAAGTAAAGGAACCACCAACTCACGTGACCAATGACCGGAAGCGTTCCACCCAGTCGGACACAGCTCTGCTCCCCAGCGAAGTGTACTTTCAGCCCACTCTGCCCCACGTCTTCCAAACGCCCGGAAGCAGGACAGGAAGCAAGGTGGTCTTTTGCCCAAATACTACCCATGACTGAGAAACACCTGATGTTTATTTTCTCCTTTTGTTTTTCAAGGAGGAGGAAATGAACAGGACTCTGGACCAAGCCATTGAGGCCGCTCGCAGCATGAAGAAGACCACGGACCGCATGGCCAAGAGACTGACGGCAGACCTGGCCAAAGCTCAACTCCTCCCCAAAGGGGAATGTGCAGCATTCAGCGGCGAGGGTGCAAGAAACATTGCGTGGCTTCACACAAAAAGAGCGCAGGATCACAAGAGACAGTTTCTTTACCCAGTACGCCATATGGACGAAAGCATTTGGCCTGACGCGTCGGAACTCTATGGCGTGCCCAGGAACAGGAAAAACAAATACAAACAGGCAAAATCGTTCCTTACTATTTCTTTATGACGCTCAGAAAATGTAGCATTTTATGCTTTCAAATAAAGGCAGAGTCACTCATGAGATGGATTCAAAATTGTCAAAATTTTTAATGCGTCAATTTGTGTGACTTTTATAGACTGATTCCCATCAGGTTGTCATTTGATGCTTCCGATCCGCCACAGGGCGAAAGACATAAACGCTGAATGACATTTAAAAAAAATGGGTCAGAATAACATTACAGGAAAATCCCCTTGTGTCAAATGAGTAGCAAGTTTAGTTCTTCTAATGACACCGCCGCCTATTTAGACATGTCCAATTGGCCATCCCGCGGGCTTATGAGCACCAAATGTGTATTCTTGCTGGGTTTCTGTTTGGGTTGCTTTGTGGATCCAATACATTCCCTGCCAACGCCTGTTGGTGCTGGAATGGGTGCACTGTTAGTCGTTCAAATTCTATTACTATGCCAAGAGGCTATCGGGAAAGGGGATGTGTCCAAGATACTCCACTGAGCTGTAATTACGCCTGTTGGTGCTGGAATGGGTGCACTGTTAGTAGTTCAAATTCTATATCCAAGCTACTCCACTGACCTGTAATTTACTGTAACTGGAGTAGTGTAACTGTAATTAACCTTTTTTTTTTAAATATATACATTCCAATCTACGAAATAAGAGCTTCCTTCACTCACCTGGATAGGCCACCCAAGCGCCCCCCAGAGGGGAGGAGTTTCATCCAATCTACGAAATAAGAGCTTCCTTCACTCACCTGCATAGGCCACCCAAGCCACCCAGAGGGGAGGAGTTTCAGCCCCTGGGCTCTTTGGTATTTGCAGAAACAATATTGCACCTGTCAGCTCACCTGAGGGAGTAAAAGCAACGAGAGAAAAGAGATCTACGTTTCCCTCAAGTTCTGTAGAAAAAAAAAATCATTCATCTTGCCTCCAGGCTGTGAAGCAAGTGTGCAGCTATGGCAACAAGATGGCTGATGATGTTGAAACTATTGGTGACTATCACACAGGTAAGTCATGATTGCTTTGCACAGGTTGACTCATCAAAAGTGGTCGGAAGTAACAAATTCATCCATCCATTTTCTAATCCTTACCTTCACGAGGGCCGCGGGGTAACGAAAATTCAGGTTTTCAAAATGTATTTACAGTTGTTATCGTTAGCTTATGTAGCATTTTATTTGTTACTTTGTTTTGTACTTTGTTCAAAACGTTAGCAAAGACCTGAAGCCAAAAGCTATGGGAACACGTTAGTAACAATAAAAACAATAACAACAAAAATAAACTGTGGTTTGATAGCATTTAAAGCCAAGCAAATGCTAGCTAGCTCTTAACTTGCCATATTATGGGATTTTGGTTTCTCAGTGCGAGCTACGTAAGTTAATAAAAGAGGGAAACCTTCATATGCATTGTATTGTATAAGTAATAGTAAAAAAAATAGTTTTTATTGTTGTACTCGCATTTCAGAGTCTGTACTTTTATACTTTTATTAAGTACAGGCGTTGTCTTTTTGTACATGAGTATCTATACAGAAGTAAAGAGTGCTTTTAGCACCTCTGATTAATAACACAACCAACGAGACCACCTTAATAGTTTTTTTTCCCCCTTCATCCTTGATATTGCATTTCACGTGCAACAATATTACATCCATATTGCATAGCGATATGACTGTGAGCACAGAGGCTCTTTTGATTTTTACAGCTTTCATCAAGTGTGGGTGGCATGCACACCCAGGCCTCAATGGACAAATTCATTCAGACCTGAAAGAAATACCTACACTGAAATCTGTGTTGAGTGAAAGCAATGTGCAGCCTGCTGCTTTTATTCTCTCATAAAATAGCATTCGCCCCCTGACCATGGAATGATGTCCTTGAAATGCATTCATACTGTACTTTATCAACAGTTGGATTTATTAATCCCAATGTTCTGTTATTTTCAGATGTGCACAGCTGAAAATGGTAAAGACACATTCTAAATTCTATTTTCTTCACGAAATGAAAATACAGTGGTACCCTGACTTAGGAGTGTCCCAATTGAAGAGATTTTTTGAATCATACACCACTGCTCGAGTGAAGAGAGAGAGAAAAAAAAAAGATTTAAGGTACTGTGATGCTGTTGGATTTGGTTGGCCGAGGGGGATTATCTGTTGCCGACGTGCATTCAGCTGTTTAATGAGCCGGACAAACAGTCGACGTGCTAACCACTGGACTACCGGGCCGCCCTTCCTTGTATCTCTGGTTAAAAAAAAAAAAAGTAAAAAAATGGCTGAACAATGTAACTTGAGATGCAAGTGTTTTGAGATACCAGCATGGTCAAGAAATAAATTAAAGCTATTCTCATAGACTCTGTGCTCTATTAATCAATGTGTGCATCATTCATTTGTTATAAGCAAATACATGCTATAATGTGATATTTTTCAGTAATGATATTTTTTTACTATTTATTAAAATAAACGCATTCATTCTTTATTATTTAGAATTTATCCGAAGGTCAATTTGAAGTACAATATTCCAGTTTAAGAGAAAGATAAACATTTTACAGTGCTTTGTTGACCACCCCAGCATATTTTTTTCGAGCAGTTGTTTTATTGCTGACACACTTCATTGGTTGTTGTGCCCTCACCCTGTTTCATTTGTATTTTAATTCACATTTGAGTGTGTAGCCCATGTGAGGGGAAAAAGGCGTTAACTTTGTGACCGTGTCTCATGTTTCAGGGGTCGAGTGTAAATTTGACCACTGAGTGTTTGAGAACGGAGACAAAGACTGAGGCACAAAAGGAGGATGAGACTGGTAAAAATGATCGATTAGAGGACAGGAGTGAGCCCCTCAGCAATGACTCATTGCAAGTCAACAATCGGTGAGGATGTTGTTTTCTCTGATAAATGATGGCTTGATTTTCATATTTATATATTCATATTTTTTAATAGTCATGATGACGAAAAGACGGAACGATATACTGTTAAATGGCATCCCTTTTATTCTTCTGCTCCTCAACTCCTTCAATACACAATTGATCATTGATCACTCAATCATCAGAATCCCTACCGATCGGTTGAAGATCTGATGAATTATTATGCCCACGCCTAGGCAGAAAATACATAACAAACTGGGATATAGAACATATTGTACCACACTACAGCTTATTATCCACAGCCGCTATTCATTGTCTTCTTCCTGCAGGCAGATTGTGTTTCGGGTTGCCGTGTCGGTGTTTGGTTTCCATTGCTCCCAGTTTAAGAGCGTTTGGGATTGCGTGCAGGCTTTCTGTTTGCCCGGAGGTGTCTGCGGAGGGACCTCTGGATGCTGATGCTGATGCTGAGCAGTTCCGCGGCGAAGAGAAACAATCTGCCTCGCTGGAGGGAAGAGCTCGTAGCAGTGACCCTTGGAGTGGAATTATTGGGAAATGGAAATCGGGAAGGTCAGTGTTGTTATTACGGGTGCATTAAATGAGTTGGTATCATTAAAAGCTGTCAAATCTTCCCGCTGCAGTGGCATGCAAGATGGCGCTGTAAACCGAGAATGTGACGTTGGTGATGGGGCCAGTCTGGCTGTGGAGGTCTCCTCTTCCTCTGACGCATGCTCATCATTAGCGCAGGTCAACTTGAATGTCCTTTTTGCTTGGTTTGCATGTTGATGTAGACGTGAGGAACTTGCTGGTTTTGTCTGTGGGCGCAGGGGGCTGTGTGCAGAGAGACAGACAGTGGATTTGGGAGCTCCTACTTGAATCGTTCCGGTGGAATACCGCAGCTTAATCCTTCCACGGAAAGGTACACGATATGATCAGAAACACCCATATTTGTTTACAACCTAAATTCGAATCCGCCGATGTGACTTAAACTCATACTGTTTTTTTTTTGTTTGTTTTTTATAATCGTGACATTATCGTTGATTAAAGGTCCAGGTACAAATGTACAGTTTGTTTATATCACATTTCAATGGTTCCAATATGATTTTACTGCATAACCCTTCCCCAGAGTGCCCAGTGATGGACTTGGTACGCCGGATAGTGAAGGCTCCTCCTTTCATCTGCTGACAACTGTTCATCCAAAGGATGTAAGCAGCCAACGACAGAAGTCGCCGGTCCAAGCACAGCCTGAAGGTTCAGCAGCCACAGTAGAACAATGGGTGCAGAATATCCTTAAAAAGTCGTCTCTCGAGCTGCAGGGTGAGTTAATCCTCTCATCATTGCAGTGATTATTCAAGTCAATCTTCATCCATACCCTGAACAGGTCCTGATGCAAACAATCGCTACGCCTCTGAAACTATCCTGAGCCCTTTGATGGATGTAGAGCAGAGACAACGCCATCTTTGCTCCTGTAATAGGTCAATACCTACAAATGACTCTTGGTTTTTGACTAGATTACCGATTACACATCAGCGGTTTGTGTTTTTGTCCATCCAGTGAGGCTATCCTGGCCTTGCAGGTAGAAGTGTCCAGACTGAAGAAAGACCTCGAAAAGGGTCTGGTCCAGTTGCCTCACCTGGCAAGGAAGATGGATTACCTGGCCTCCAAATACAGGCAAGATCGTCAAGAACGTAGATCCAAGACCAAAAGCAGAGCCTACCACAAAACAACCAGGTGGGAGGAAATGATGCACGAGGATTAATAAAACGCTGCAAACTAATGTAATCATTTTAAACTTTAGCTTGTGGAAGTCAACAAGCAGCAGACAAAGTCTGAGGGATTTCAGCTCGAGTCAGTTAGCACTGGACGACTGGATTTCAACAGATATGGACCCCAGCAGGAGCAAAGGTTCTCCACAACTTGAGTGTTTTAAAGTAACGTGACAGTAATCCCCGGGCTATTCCGGGACTGAGACATGTTGCGAATTATATAATATGATGCAGCCGGAAAGTTTTCACAGTGCTTCACGTTTTCCACATTCTGTTACGGTCCGCCCTCATTCCAAATGGGAATAAGTTCATTTTCCCTCAAACGTCATCATATAACAGCCAATAATGACAACATGAATGTATTCAAAATAGAGAAAGCATAGAAAAAAAGTGAAGCGCGTGCATTGTTTATGTTATTCCCACCAGAGGCCATCATGGATAACCTTTACTCCAAAAACAGACGGCTTCTTCTCGCACTTCAGCCTACCCAAAGGCCGCTGCTTCAACTCAGCTATGGCTCCTCGTGCAGTCTACCTGCCAGGTAAAAACACAAACACATCATCACCACTTCCCAAGCAAAGAGTCCACATTCAACTTTCTTGTCATATTCAGTTACAAAGTAAAGGAACCACCAACTCACGTGACCAATGACCGGAAGCGTTCCACCCAGTCGGACACAGCTCTGCTCCCCAGCGAAGTGTACTTTCAGCCCACTCTGCCCCACGTCTTCCAAACGCCCGGAAGCAGGACAGGAAGCAAGGTGGTCTTTAGCCCAAATACTACCCATGACTGACAAACACCTGATGTTTATTTTCTCCTTTTGTTTTTCAAGGAGGAGGAAATGAACAGGACTCTGGACCAAGCCATTGAGGCCGCTCGCAGCATGAAGAAGACCACGGACCGCATGGCCAAGAGACTGACGGCAGACCTGGCCAAAGCTCAACTCCTCCCCAAAGGGGAATGTGCAGCATTCAGCGGCGAGGGTGCAAGAAACATTGCGTGGCTTCACACAAAAAGAGCGTAGGATCACAAGAGACAGTTTCTTTACCCAGTACGCCATATGGACGAAAGCATTCGGCCTGACGCTTCGGAACTCTATGGCGTGCCGAGGAACAGGAAAAACAAATACAAACAGGCAAAATCGTTCCTTACTATTTCTTTATGACGCTCAGAAAATGTAGCATTTTATGCTTTCAAATAAAGGCAGAGTCACTCATGAGATGGATTCAAAATTGTCAAAATTTTTAATACGTCAATTTGTGTGACTTTTATAGACTGATTCCCATCAGGTTGTCATTTGATGCTTCCGATCCGCCACAGGGCGAAAGACATAAACGCTGAATGACATTTAAAAAAAATGGGTCAGAATAACATTACAGGAAAATCCCCTTGTGTCAAATGAGTAGCAAGTTTAGTTCTTCTAATGACACCGCCGCCTATTTAGACATGTCCAATTGGCCATCCCGCGGGCTTATGAGCACCAAATGTGTATTCTTGCTGGGTTTCTGTTTGGGTTGCTTTGTGGATCCAATACATTCCCTGCCAACGCCTGTTGGTGCTGGAATGGGTGCACTGTTAGTAGTTCAAATTCTATATCCAAGCTACTCCACTGACCTGTAATTTACTGTAACTGGAGTAGTGTAACTGTAATTAACCTTTTTTTTTTAAATATATACATTCCAATCTACGAAATAAGAGCTTCCTTCACTCACCTGGATAGGCCACCCAAGCGCCCCCCAGAGGGGAGGAGTTTCATCCCCTGGGCTCTTTGGTATTTGCAGAAACAATATTGCACCTGTCAGCTCACCTGAGGGAGTAAAAGCAACGAGAGAAAAGAGATCTACGTTTCCCTCAAGTTCTGTAGAAAAAAAAAATCATTCATCTTGCCTCCAGGCTGTGAAGCAAGTGTGCAGCTATGGCAACAAGATGGCTGATGATGTTGAAACTATTGGTGACTATCACACAGGTAAGTCATGATTGCTTTGCACAGGTTGACTCATCAAAAGTGGTCGGAAGTAACAAATTCATCCATCCATTTTCTAATCCTTACCTTCACGAGGGCCGCGGGGTAACGAAAATTCAGGTTTTCAAAATGTATTTACAGTTGTTATCGTTAGCTTATGTAGCATTTTATTTGTTACTTTGTTTTGTACTTTGTTCAAAACGTTAGCAAAGACCTGAAGCCAAAAGCTATGGGAACACGTTAGTAACAATAAAAACAATAACAACAAAAATAAACTGTGGTTTGATAGCATTTAAAGCCAAGCAAATGCTAGCTAGCTCTTAACTTGCCATATTATGGGATTTTGGTTTCTCAGTGCGAGCTACGTAAGTTAATAAAAGAGGGAAACCTTCATATGCATTGTATTGTATAAGTAATAGTAAAAAAAATAGTTTTTATTGTTGTACTCGCATTTCAGAGTCTGTACTTTTATACTTTTATTAAGTACAGGCGTTGTCTTTTTGTACATGAGTATCTATACAGAAGTAAAGAGTGCTTTTAGCACCTCTGATTAATAACACAACCAACGAGACCACCTTAATAGTTTTTTTTCCCCCTTCATCCTTGATATTGCATTTCACGTGCAACAATATTACATCCATATTGCATAGCGATATGACTGTGAGCACAGAGGCTCTTTTGATTTTTACAGCTTTCATCAAGTGTGGGTGGCATGCACACCCAGGCCTCAATGGACAAATTCATTCAGACCTGAAAGAAATACCTACACTGAAATCTGTGTTGAGTGAAAGCAATGTGCAGCCTGCTGCTTTTATTCTCTCATAAAATAGCATTCGCCCCCTGACCATGGAATGATGTCCTTGAAATGCATTCATACTGTACTTTATCAACAGTTGGATTTATTAATCCCAATGTTCTGTTATTTTCAGATGTGCACAGCTGAAAATGGTAAAGACACATTCTAAATTCTATTTTCTTCACGAAATGAAAATACAGTGGTACCCTGACTTAGGAGTGTCCCAATTGAAGAGATTTTTTGAATCATACACCACTGCTCGAGTGAAGAGAGAGAGAAAAAAAAAAAGATTTAAGGTACTGTGATGCTGTTGGATTTGGTTGGCCGAGGGGGATTATCTGTTGCCGACGTGCATTCAGCTGTTTAATGAGCCGGACAAACAGTCAATCACACAAACACAAAATGAAAGCACTCGCAAGGAGCAGCTCTAACTCCACCTTCTGATACCACTAAGTCACGGCCCTTAAAGGCAGATGTCCAACACACGAATGCAACATAGTTTGTACAGTAATAATATTGTATAAAATCAAGAGTGTTTCTTAAAATTCTTTTTCTTCATTAAAAATAGGTAACAAAAATACGTTGGGTCTGGAACAAATTAAAGTCAAGTTACCTCTGTATAATGTCCTTTGGCTTTTCCCCTGTATGAAGCCACATAATTAATTCTGATCCCTCCAGGTGTCACTTTCTCCGTCTTTACGGTCACATCCAAAAGTATTACCATGCAGTGGACAGGACATACCGGCGCCACCACCTACAAGATTACTGCGACACCCAAAAACTCTCCAGAGCGGCCGTTTTTTGCTCAGTTTAGCGGTGACTCAGTGATGGGCTCAGTCAACTCTCTCTCTCCTAACACTGTCTACACTGTGCAGCTAGAGGCCATGGATCACACTCTGAATGTCTTGAGTAGTGCGAGGACTGAGAAAAGAACAGGTCGGTGAACGCAGGGTGGGATGGAGAAGTGAAAATTGTCCTTTTTGAGGAATCTCATGGTCAGGAATTTGGGACTACCAGACAGACATACATTCTCTCTCTGTATATATATTAGCCCCTGACGTGCCCTGCATTGTGCAGGCCTACTCCAAGCACAGCGACAGCATCACTGTGGTGTTCACAGAGGTTGCCGGGGCGACTGGCTACACCCTGAGGGCAATGTTTCAGAGCAGTGACTTCTTCTCTGAAACTACGGTGAACAGCTCTCCAGCCACCGTTGTTGGACTCCAGCCCTATACAAACTACAAGCTGAGCATCATGTCAATCAACTCGGGAGGGCGGAGCCAAGCTTCACACGCCATCAACGCCTTGACAGGTAAGTAATAAGACATTTGTCAAGGTGTCGATGGTGAACATGAATGAATCTTGAACTGTCTGATACAACACAGTGCATCTTTTTTGAGAGAGCGCTTTCACAACAGCTATAGCTGTAACAAAGGGCTTTACAGGACAGTTTACATAAAATGTATAAGTGATGAACATTTCCAACCAATTTCACTTGGCCAGATTTGTACTTTGGAAGCAATTCACTAAAGATGCTAATCTGCGTACGAAGACTGCTACAGTCAATGTTCCCATAGAAGAATATCTCGTCTCACTCCGCTGGCCATAACCGTGTGTCATTTCACTTCTCATTGTCCTCGTCCTGGTGGAAACCGTATCCATCCAAGGCGATGCAGTGTTTTCATAAAATGTAAAGAGAAACCATGAGAACAAGGCGCTGTCCCCTCCCCGGGGAGAAGGCAGTGACATCTAATCGCGGGGATGCTCACTGTTTTACATCTCTTACAAAACAACATACTACATTTGACGCATCTTCGTATATTTTGTCTTCAGTGGTGATGGCGCCTGAGTTGAACACATCCTCCCCTGATGATGGGACAATCCTGGTCTCGTGGTCCCCCGTTGACAACGCCGTCCTCTACGTGCTTTGCATCATCCAGCAGGGCTCTAGCACGCGCCTCAAGGTCAACACCACTGACCACACAATGACCTTTGGTGATCTTGAGGCCGGGACAACTTACTGCATCAAAGGCGAAGCCTGGGACTCTGAAGGTCGTGCTGGTGACGACCTCACTGTGTGCCAGATCACACGTGAGCGATAGAATTTTTTTTATTTGACATCCATTCTGTAGTTGATCTAAAATGTGAATATCAGGGGCTCCGTTTTCATAAAATCTGCCGTAACTTCATGGTGGATGTCATTTATTTCATTCGTAAGTATGGCAACAACATACATCAAACCCCCTAAACTCTCCATGTACCCACTTCACAGCAGACAACTTTACATAATTCGCCTCTCCTGCACTGAATTTAAAGGGAATGAGAGGAGAGGCTTTGATTGGCTGTGTTTACTCCCACAACGCTGCAAGCGCCCATTTCCAACTGCGCCCATCGATGAAAATACCAAAAGACAGAAAACTCCACCCATGCCTTGAGTGAACCTGTACTTTGCACTAGACTTGTGCTGGGCACGAAAATAGACCCCATCATGAGGAAATGTTGAAGTCATTTTTTGGGGGTGGGTCAAAATATTACTTAAGCCAATATTTTAATAAAGTGACAACACGTGCAACAAGCCTCTCACTGGTATGAAAACGAGGATTCTCCAGTGTTGGCGGTCTGCCGCAGGTGCACTGTTTATAGAAATAGAGCCCAAAGTGAAACAACTGACTCACTTTAGCAATGAAGGTTTGTTCATTAATGTTCTCTGGATTTCATTTAAAGGTCCAGCAAGTCCAGATTTGGTTCACGTCCAGGTGACCCTGGGTGGGGCCCTCGGAATTACTGTGTACTGGATGTCAGTGAAAGGAGCTGAGGACTACCTGGCTTTAACCACTAATGGTCAAAACTGTACAAACGCAGCCAGGAACCACTGTTACATCAGTCCGGTGGGATGTGGTCAGAATCACTCTGTCTCTGTCACTGCTTTCAACTCAGCCGGACCCAGTTTGCCCTCACCTCCTGCAAACTACATTACATGTGGGTCTAACTCAGCCATGCATACTGTATATCTGACACTTTTTATAAAAAAAAAAAAGTACATACAAAACAGGATTCTAACCTGCCTTTAAAATTACTCCCATTCCTTAATCACTTTGCTTCTATGTATTAGACCCATGTCCCCCAGACAACATCTGGGTGGAGGAAACGCAAGCTGACAACTGCTCAGTCCTCTGGGATGAGGTCCCAGTTGTGGATTTCTACATGGCTTTCATAAAGAGGGATGACGGTACCGAGAAGTCTTGCAACACCACTGGAACCAGCTGCCACTTCCTGTGCGGGTGCGGTTATACGTACCTCACCAGCGTCTTCCCCTTCAACCAGGCTGGCTCCAGTCCTTTTGCACATGTGCAGAACTACACCACCAGTAGGATCACACATGTTAACTAATATATCAGTAGAAGTGCATGATCCATTTGCAATCTCTTCATTATCTAAGTCAGAGGTGGTCTATGCTTTTGGTATATGGGCACTCAATGTGAAAATATCCAGAAAGTTGACAAAAAAGGGAAAAAAATGCTTTAATTTTGCCCATCATGACTATTTTTCTTGCCTTGTCCATCCCCTCCTGCCAGCTCCATGCTGTCCAGAGGATGTTGCTTTGAAGTCTGTTTCGACGGAGACGCTGGAGATCACGTGGTCACCGGTCAAAGGGTCAGAGCTTTACCAGACGACAGCAAAGCAGGTTGACCAGGTCATCCGCTGTAATGACACGGCGCCGGTGTGCGCGCTGTCAGATTTGAGGTGCAACACAGTTTATTCTGTGGTGGTCAGTCCATGTAGCGAGCTACGAGGGTGCAATGGCACTTGCCCGCAACACACGCACGAGACAGGTAATGATGAGATAATGCCACCACCGATTCACTGTTGTCTTATTGTGGCAATGCTGAGAGACAACTCAGGGTCTGCGAACACATTTCTGGGGTTCTGAAAAACAATTAGCAATAAATTACACCGGTGCCACAAATCAGTCCATCTTAAATCATCTTTCCCCATTGAAATAAATGGAAATGCAATGAATCTGCTCTTTCTCTAGTTCATCGAGCTCATCTGTAACTTCAAAACCTTGTATGTCGGCAGGTAGCATCTTAAACTAAGGACGTCCTGTAGTTCTTCATTTATTTATTTCATTCTTTTCTTGATTGTGGAATCGAGGAATCGAACAGTCTAACAGTGAGTCATTTTTATTGAGAAGCTCAACATCCTGTCTATCTGCAGCTCCGTGTTCGCCAGAGATTCTGAATATGACGCAGATCAACCAGTCCTCATACAGAGTCCTGTTCACTACCCCAAACGCTCAGAATACAGACTACACCATCACTGCCACCGGGCGGTACGATACTCACACTTGCTCTGGAAGAAACATGTCCTGTGAGCTAACGCAGTTGCCCTGCGGTTCAACGTACGAGGTCACAGCCGTGGCTACCACAAGCGGGGGACGGAGTCTACCCGGATACAGTAGCATTTTAGAAACAGGTACTTCAGAATGATTGGTCACCCAAGACAAGAAGAAGGCCTCCACGTGCTTTCATTTGAATCACCACATTGCATCTCTCCGAGGTCCCTGCTGTCCTGCATCCATGAATATCACCCAGGTCACGCAGTCAATGACAAATGTGACCTGGTCAGCTGGCCGTGGAGCTCGCTCCTACATCGCCACGCTAACTTCGTCACATGGACATGCCAAGTGTCACACCGTGGATAGCCAATGCTTGATGGGATGTATCAGCTGCGGGACGAACTACAGCGTCAACCTGGAAGCCATCAGCAGCACTGGACGCACGTCCCAGTGCAAATATCGCGGCTTCTCGTCAAGTGAGGACACCAACATCGCGGATAATCTCACATCTCAATGGCACAATCCTGATTTTAAGTCTTTCCTAGGTGCCTGTTGCCCGACCAACATCAAACTGTATCGCTGGGCGAACAACTCCCTCAGGGTCTACTGGCGCTCCTCATGGACACCGCAGATCCAGGAGCACACGGTGGAGCTATACGGAACAGCCGCCAACTACACGTGCCTCGCGGCTGCCAACAGCAAACACTGCGACATCCAGGAGGAAAGCTGCGGGGACGTCTACACGGTGGTGGCGGCGCCGATTGGACCCAGCAGAGTCAAAGTTAAGTTCTGTCAGCAGAGGACATACTCAGGTCAGTTCACATCACACCAACAGCCTATTTGGAGTCTACAATAAATACAGAAAAAAAATAAGAATACAGCACAAAAATTCATTAAATGTCCTTTCAACGTCATGTATTTTCTTTTTGTGTTATTCTTACAGTTCCTTGCCCAGGATTTAACGGCGGCATTAGTAAGTAAGCGAGCTTTCTCCAAATTTTACTTGACAGGCTTTCGAATAACATGTCATCTCTCTCCAGTGATCTCTCGGGGAAGAAGAAGCCTCAAGTAAAGGTCGGTAAGTTTCATGTGGATCATCTTGGATGACTTATGCAAGCCCGAGACAAAGCTGAGATTGTTGCATGCGTGAAAGCAATTGATAAAAGCAGGACGAGGCCATTGTTTTGCTTGGCAACTTGACGCGCTAACTTGTAACCGCATCACCGGCTTCCATAAAACCAAATGACTGTGCCCCATAGAAGTTTGGTAACAATGTAAGAGGAAAACAAAGCTAGAAAGAATAATAATGTTCGCAACATAGATGACTTCTTCCTCCATTCCCTGTGGGACTCCCAACAGAAACCTGGTAACGAGATCGTAAACGTGACTCAGGTAAAAGCAGATGCGAACGTGCTGAAGGAGCGTGACACGTGTGTTTGGGATGGAAAATGATAAGCCGCTTAATGTATACGCAAATCCACATACAATATGATGGTAATCGAGCAATGACGAGCCGTGAGGAGACATTAAAAGCAATTTTTATGTTTGCAACCCTCAGGGAGTCTCCGAACAACACCACAGCAAGGAGGAGGACTGTGATTACAGCCAGTTTGCACGTCCGCTATACATGGATGAAATACTATATACTCCTGTATAGGAATGTTACAGCCCATCACTGCTGTTTGCATGAAGATATGTATGTATGGATTATGTCTTTTGTTGCAAAATGATTAAAAAAAAACAAACTTTAACTCACGTAATTTAAAACTTTTTTTTAATGATACTAGAATAGGACAAAGTTGTCGTCATTGATTGGCACACAGAGATTTCAAATTTTCTGGCAAAATAACCTCAGGATGGGAGTGGTACCACTGCTTAAAATGGAAATGGAAACTACCCAGTAATCCCATCTATTTTCTATAGCGCTTGTCCTTATTCGGGTCACAGGTGAGCTGGAGCCGGATGACTTTGGACAAGAGGCGGAGGACACCCTGGACTGGTCGCCAGCCAATCGCAGGGCACATAGTGACAAACAAAACCAAAACATTCACACTCACATTTACTCTCGAGTCTATAGTGAATCTGATGCATTTCGTGTGGTATAAAAGGAAGCCAGAGTACCCGGAGCAAACCCATGTAAGCATGAAAGACCATAAAAAAACGCCACACGCAAGTGTGAGGTGCATGTGCTAGCCACAGTTGCATTTCGTGTGGTATAAAAGGAAGCCAGAGTACCTGGAGCAAACCCATGTAAGCATGAAAGACCATAATAAATGCTTCACGCAAGCGTGAGGTGCATGTGCTAGCCACAGCGATATCACGGTGCCCGAGTAATATTCCTTATCCTGAAAATCCTAAACCAAATGCTGACAGATATGTCCTGAGATAGTTTTTTAATCCCAACCCCATTGCTCCGAAATGGTGGGTGTAAACATTAATCAACATTAATCAAGGTCATCTGAGCATCGTTTTGCCTAACACACACCTGAGCGTCGATCATCTTATTTGGTGTGTATGAGCTTTTGTGATACTGACATTTTCAATTATTTTCCCCGACAGTACAGTTGTATTGAACGTGCGAGCGGGAAAAGCCTTTCTTACCTCACGAAAAGCAATTGACTGTGTTGCGACATCTTCACATACTCTTTTTCAAAGGCCTCAGAGCCACAAGTTACAAAACGATTATTTTTGCTAACCCGCACGCAGACTTACCTTGAAAAGAGCATCAAACAGCTGCAGGACATTCGGAACACTACAGAACAAAGAGATCAGAACATATTACTCCATGAAAAAATATTGGAAAAAAAAAAGAAAAGAAAAAACGGAAAATATGCAAATCTACAGGTCCCGCACTAAGACTATATGCAGGTTCCGACTGTACGACCAATTTTTTTTATTGACTGTCAAAAACAATGAGTGACCTTTGACAATTCTGTTTTACAGGGTCGTCGTTATTCAATCGTGGAATATGATGGAGCATTTTCTGGAAGGACGTAGTAGGACACCTCTCATGCTGTACAAAAGAGATCGTATGATGTTACAAGTGAAAATCTGAAGTGTATTTTTTATAAAAATGGTCACACAAAGACCGAAATACCTCCAGATGGTCTAGATGTGTCTTGTTTGTGTATCAAACTTCCAACTTGACTTGTTTTATAAATATTGGAATGGCTAAGTTCATGGAAGAGGTGTGAATGGAAGATTGGGCGGAGAAGTGAAAGTGTCCCCCACCTAACCGTCCCCTTTTGCTTCCTTCTCATGATGACAGAGCACCCTCAGGCATCCACCTGTCCTCGTTTTGGGACACCCTGATTGGTTCCTCCCAAGTTGATCTCCACTACTTGGTCGTAAAAGATTTCAGATCATCCCTTGAAACAGCTGGATGAGGAAAGCGCGGACGGATATAAACTCTCCGAGGAATGACAATACGATTGGATAAGATGTGGATGTTTTTTTCAGCCACCCTTCTGTCTGTCATACAGGTAACATTATGCTGTGTCATCATATTTTTATTTTTATTTATTTTTTAACTCTCATGAACTTGTGTTTGCTCATTTGTTCTTTATGTATTTTTAGATGCAACGAGTTTTGGCAACAGGTGAGTGCAGTCAAACTTGTAAGCTCTTAAAATAACTTTTGGCACACAATCGTTACAGAAACACAAAATCGATATTAGATCTATTATTAATAAATATAAGAATCATAATAATAAAAATAATGTATTTAAAAAATTGTGTTAACATTTTTATTTCATAAAAAAAAAAACCTCCACGTTATTGCTCTTCTATGTTCGTTGTCTGGTATTGAATAAAGGTTGTTTTGACCCAGCATTAAACTGATGATGATCTCCATTTAAATAACCCCAATTTCCTTTTTTTTTTTCCCCAGGATGTAGCATTGTCTCAGTGACCTCTCCTTCAGCATCATCACTGAATGTCATATGGAGCGAAGACATCGGAGCTTCGGTATATTTACTGGACTTACGAGTGGTCAACTCCACCAGTATTGCCCCTGTGGTGGTGATGCCGTACCCACCCAGCACTCAGAGGCTGATTCAGGGCTTACGACCTGGCCACACATACCTGGTCACGGTGAAGGTGATAGCGTCTTACGTTGTTGTGTGCACAGACACTTACGAAACAATGACAGGTAGATATTGTTAAAAAAAAATCTGACGAGTGATATTTTCAAGGCTTTTCTCGATACCTGGTCACGGTGAAGGTGATAGCGTCTTACGTCGTTGTGTGCACAGACACTTACGAAACCATGACAGGTAGATATTGTTAAAAAAAATCCGACGAGTGATATTTTCAAGACTTTTCTCATACTCAACGTTTTCTTGCCTTCCCACAGTACCGGCGACATCTCAGATCACATTTTCCAGAGCTATTTCAAGTACCTCGATCATATTTGAGTGGTCGAGTGTGTTCGGTGCAGACAGCTACACTTTGTTTGTGGAGGAGTTGTTCAGCACCCCCACAAACAAATACAACCAGACCTTCACGACTTTGAGCGGACAAATGGATGGCTTGATTCCATCGACTACGTACATCTGTTGCATTTATGCCTCCAACACAGCAGGAAATGGTGCCAAAAGTAACCTTAGGACGATCACTACCTGTAAGTCTACTCAGATTGTGGGCTTTAAGAAAAAAAAACTATGTTGTGGTTTTGTTACGTTGCACCCCAGTAGCGTTTGTATTTTGTCTCCAAAGTGGTGCAGCCGCCAACCGGCGTGACTCTTGTCTCCACCGGAAAGAGCACGGCTCGAGTGACGTGGGACTCTGTGTATAAAGTTCTGCTTTATCAAGTGACCGTGAGCGACAACGAAAATCCTAGCAACGCACCCGTCATCATGAACACATCGTCCACAACCATGGATATCAGTAATCTAGAACCCTGCTCCACCTACACCGTGGGGGTATCGTCGGTCAACGTGTTCTTAGTACCGGGGGAGGCTTCCAATGTCACGCACACGACATCCAGTGAGTATTTTAAATTCTGTTGATAAAGACGGGCATTTGACTGAAATTCCTCTTTTAGGCTAAACCTCTGCTGTCCACGCTGCTAAAACTGATTTCTCTCGTCTTGTTTAGCCATAAATCCCGTGACATCCCTCACGGTGGTCTACAGCTGCTCCAGCGGTATGGTGACGGTAACGTGGGATTTGGTGTTTGGCGCCAACTTGTACCGAGCCACGGCTGTCGACGGCACCGGTGCGTCACTCAACTGTACATCAGCCTCCGACAGCTGCCAGGTCACCATGCTCAAGTGCGGCGAGCAGTACAGAGTGCACGTCACAGCAATCTCGGACGACTGCGAGAGCATCGCCAACACCTCCACCGTGTTCGAGACGGGTGAGTGCAGCCTGGATGGTCTTCGCCCAACACCTTCTCATTTTACTTTGTTACCTTCACACATGCAAATCCACAGCTCGATGTCACCGATAAGTTGGCCCAGTGGGATTTTGTTTAGCTTCCTCCTATTGTTAGCTTTTACTCTTTTCTCACAGTCACACCCTCTCATTAGTCAATACAAGTGGATACCCAACACCATCAATTTATGAGTTCTTTACACTCTATTGAAGGGAGGCGGACATCTCAAAGGTCAGTTATCATATCAAGGGGGAAGCACGCAATCTGCTCAAAGAAATTTAACTTGTGTTAAATGTCGTGAGCCTGAAATGTAACCAAAGAAGAAAAAGACAAAGATGAAAAATTTCCTTTTCTCGTTTCTCCAGTGCCCTGCGCACCAGCTCACACTCTGACCAACCACGATTGCTCAAGCAATGTGATCCTCTTTAGCTGGGAGCCAACCAACAACACTTTTTACTACGTGGCCACGGCTGAAGACAACCATGGCCAAATGACTGAGTGCCGGACACAAGACAGCGCCTGCTTCTTCACCAATACAGGCTGTGGTCAATTCTACACATACACCGTGTATGCTGTCAGCTCCGAATGCAACAGCGAAGTTAGCCAACCTGAGTTCGTGCGAACCTGTGAGTACCATTTCACCATCAATCATCTATCTACTTTTTTTTTTTGCGGAAAATAGCCACTCTTGTTCTAAAAATTCTAGCAACATCCTGGATAACTATGATTTATGCGCTAGGTTTTTTTTTCCAGCTTCTTGTATTCGGCTCATGTGTATAATGTGCAATGTATCCTACACGGTATTGAAAACATCGGAATATTTATTATAATACAGTAAAAAGTGAATGTCTGTATCCCAAAATGAACATTAAAGAAGACTCAACATTTCCATTCTCTTGGGCTGTGATTGGATATACTTATGGAAGAGCGTAATTACACGGCCATTTTATTGATAACATAACCGACTGTAGAAGAAAATGTATGTTTTGAAAGACTGAAACTAACTCAATCTCCCTTTCTCCCAGCTCCCTGTCTTCCTGCAAATGTACAGACGGCAGCAGAATGTCACTCCGAAACCCTGATTACTACCTGGGACTCCGCCGCAGGAGCTCTGTCCTACACTATCGAAGCACAGGGCAACACGGGAGAAACCTACAACTGCACCTCCTCGTCCAACAGCTGTGCAGTGACCGGCGTGCCTTGCGGGGAACACCTCAGCGTGTGGATCGTCGCCTCCAATGACAACTGCTCCACCGACAGGGTTCTGGGAGAGGTGGCGCAGACTGGTATGCACTGGGAGCTATAAACTTTGAGTTAAAAGATTTAGTATAGCGCCTCTTTTCGGAGTTTAGGTCAAGACTCGTTTCTATACTCCTTTATCTCTCCAGTTCCTTGCACCCCCACCATTGTGTCAGCATCAGCCAACTGCAGCCAAGACTCAGCAACAATCACCTGGACGACAAGCATCGGTGCCATATTTTACACCGCAGTCGTTCAGGATATGGATGGAAATTTGCATGGCTGTAGTTCAGCCGCCACCGAATGCTTGGTGGGAGACCTGACATGTGGACGGAATTACACGGCCCACATCATTGGATCCAATTTCAAATGTAACAGCAGTGACAGCGATGAGATTGCATTTCGTACAGGTAAGAATAATTGACCGAACGGTCCATTGCGTGTCTAATAAAGCACTGCACATATATTTACTCTTTCAATGTCCTCCTGCTCCTCCTCCTTAGCACCTTGTCCTCCTGATAACGTCGAAGCATTCAGAGACTGTGACGCCAACCACGCTCTGATAGTCTGGCAGAATCACCGGTCCACAGGCAACTACACGGCGACCATCGAGGATCCGAGTGGAGCTCAACTCACGTGCAACAGTGAGACTGTCAACAACTGCAAAATCCCCGATTTGCCATGTGGGAAGACATACAACGTTACTGTCACTAACAATGATGGAACCTGCCATTCTATATCGACATCAGTCAGCATGGACTCAGGTACTGCAGCAATAACGTATTGAGCTGTGAGTGAAAAAAAATGATCAAAAGTAATACATGATGTTGTCTTTTTCTAGTACCATGTGGCCCAGAGGATGTTGAAGCGGTCATGAATTGCCCTACAGGCGAGCTGACAATGACCTGGAGCAACTCCGTCCCTGCGGACAACTACACGGCCACCATTTCCAGGGGGTTGGGTCAGCCTCTATACTGCAACTCCACAGAGACTCAGTGCACCAGAGGAGGGTTAGCTTGTGGCAGCACTTACTCTGTGACCATTGCAGCGGTCACCGGGACATGTTACAGTCTGCCCAGTACCGAGGCCATCGTGCAAACAAGTAAGAGAATTTCTGTGCACTTTCTGAAATGCGCGAAGAGACCACAAAATGGCGCCAAAGCCTTGTCTAGCACAGTAAGTAGTTGAAGGAAGTATGATGAAGTGATACATGAATAGCGGAGGTCGACTGTACTTAGTTATTATTTCTGGATCCAAACTTGTTAGCTCTCAAGCTAGCTGGAGTGGAAACAATCGTATGATTTTTTTTTTTTTTTAAGCTCCATTTTATATACTTGCTGTTTTGTTTTTTTTATTCATTTAAATTTGGGTTGTGAATGTAGGTTGTGGGTTTACAGAAAAAAAAGGGAGGGGCTCATTACTTGGCAGGGCTCAGTCCCTATTCTCCAAGAAGAGCTACAAATTCTTTTAGGATCTGTCATACAAACTTTTTTCACCTCACTCTCTCTCTTGTCTTTCCTATCAGTGCCGTGCCCTCCTACGCCCGTCATTGCTGTGGAAACATGCGGACCAGGTCCCGTTCCTGTCTCTTGGGTGGCCAGTGACAGTGCCAATTCTTACACTGCCATTGCTGTGAGCAGTGCAGGCTATACCTCAGCATGCACCACCAATGAAACATCGTGCAACTTTTATAACCTTATGTGCGGCCAAGTTTACAACATCACTGTGGCAGGAGTGGACAACAACTGCACAGGACTCTATGGAGATGCTGTGCCACTGTACACCGGTAACACGCTGACGGCGACCCTCACTTCCACCTCATTGAAAATGATGATGCTTACCTATTCACTGATTCGCTTCCTGCAGAGCCATGCATCCCCACCAACGTGTCCAGCCAGCTGGACTGTGCGGCTAGCATCTCTCATGTATTCTGGAACTCTGATCCAAATGCTGCCAGCTACACTGTGACAGCCACCAATACAGAGCAGATGCGCACCTGCGTCAGCACTACACCCAACTGTACACTAACAAACTTGCTCTGTGACCAAACTTATGACATTTCTGTGACGGCCACCGATGGCATCTGTGTCAGCAGCGAGAGCGCCTCAATCTGGCAAGCACCAGGTAAAGATTACCGGTAGCTGTTATTTTCAGGCTATGTAGACACGATTCAATCTGATCTTCAAACCATCAAACTTTTTTATTTTCTTAGTACCGTGTGCGCCTGGGGATGTCAACACCACTTTCTCCTGCAACACCAATGACCTCATGGTCAGCTGGAGAAACTCTTCTTGGCCACTAAACTACAGCATCGCCGCCACTCCCCTCTCTGGAAATTTGACATCAGCCACCTGCTACACGGACAGCACTGACTGTAGTCTGAGTGGCCTTCACTGTGGACAGGCTTACAATGTTTCCGTAAGAGGTTGCTTTGGAGATTGCCCCGGACCGTATAGTGTCCCACAGACCATCATGACAGGTATTAGGATGTATAATTTACTAGTCTACTAGTAAAGTAGACTGGATAGGATAAGATAATGAGTTTGAATGAGCTTCGTAAAAACGAGTGATATTTTTATCTGTCCAGCTCCATGTGCACCTCAAAACTTGGAAGCGATGACAGACTGTAGCACACACTCCATCTGGGCCTCTTGGAATGCTTCTTCGGGGGCTACCTCCTACACAGCGACTATGACGGGACCAAATGGCTTCTTTGAAACGTGTTCGACATCGAACCTCATGTGTTCTTTTAGTAATCTACAGTGTGCAACACAATACAGTGTTAACGTCACAGCTCATGATGACTACTGCACCAGCCCCTCCGCTCGGATAACAATGACCACTGGTAATTTCTACAATTGTGATATCTAATACATTTCCCAGAATGCAACATTCATCCTTCTGGCACCTGTTCCTGCAGGACCGTGTGATCCATTAAATGTGACCGCCGTTCTCCAGTGTGGTTCTGATGCAGCTACAGTATCTTGGCATGCCAGCGCCGGGGCCGCATCGTACCATGTTTTGGCTTACGCCTCACAGCATCAAACATCCTGCTGGAGCATGTCAACTTCCTGTCAGTTGAATGGCCTACAGTGTGGAGCGACGTACAATCTGACTGTTGTTGCTGAGGGCAGCACATGTAACAGCACTGGAGGCTCACAAGCAACGTTGATGACAGGTTAGTGAAAATTTCATTTCAACATGAACTTGCGTTCTCGGCGCCCATCCCGTTGGCCTGAAATGAGGCAGCCGTGCAACGTACTGTAAACATAGCCGAATCTTATCAAAAATAAAATCTCACTTTTCTTCTCTCCCAGCTCCATGCTCGCCATACTTCGAAAACAGCACCCAAATCTGTGGCACAAATTCCTCCATTGTGTCCTGGATGCCAGTGGACGATGCCACAGGTTACATAATCAATGCAAGAGCCACAAGCGGCCATTTGGTTTCGTGCAACTCAGCCATTCCGACCTGTGCGCTAACAGATTTAGAGTGTGGTGCAACTTACACAGCCACTATTGTGGCTCAGGGAAGCCAGTGTGACAGCCCACCTGGACCACCTGCTAACATTACCACAGGTTAGGTGCATTGTTACGGTCCATTTACCTGCCCGATGCAGCTAATATTCACCTTGTTATCATTTTTTTTTTGCTTTATAGCTCCCTGCCCTCCAGCGGTTATTTCCAAGCAGTACATGTGTGGCAGCAACACAGCCGTGCTCAGTTGGAGTGACACTTTTGGACGTCTCGGCTTCCAAGCTGAAATAGCTGGATATGGCTATCAGGAAACCTGCAGGACTACAAATACGAGTTGTGTAGTCCACAATCTTCCTTGTGGCTTGGATCTCAATGTTACTGTGCAGGCTGAGGGAGAGCACTGCAACAGCACCCCTAGTGTCTGTCATTCACTCCAAACAGGTGAGTCGAGCATAGCAATAACGTCATTTTTTACGGTTTTTAAGAAATGACAACAAACAAGGAAAAAAACAAGCAAGACAGAATGTGTGACTGACACTGATGTCAAAGAAACGCCACAATATTTGCAAATCAAACTACGGGCACAAGATATGGCCGGAGAGGGTGGAGTTTTTAACAGATTATTCATTTACTACTGTCAGGACATGCCGACGGTTAGAACAGCGGTGCCCCAAAAATTTTTTTGAAATACAAACTCCCCTTTGTATTTTATTGGATATTCATTGTCATTTTTTTCCCCCTTTCCAGCCCCATGCGCCCCAGTGAACATTAGTGCCACCCTGGTCTGTTTCAATCACTCAGCCCTGGTGTCATGGGTGGGAAGCTCCAGCGCTGTTGAATACACAGTGACGTCTACCGGCCAAAATGGACACACACATCAATGTCATTCAAACACGACTAGTTGTCAACTTTCACACATCCACTGCGAAGAAACGTATGACATCACCGTAACGCCTCACTCTGAGTCGTGCGCTGGAACGCCGAGTCAAGTCTACAGCTTCAGAGCAGGTGCCCGACTATCATCAGCATCACGTTAGGCTAAATTTAAGAAAAGTTTCATTTATCTGTCTTGCTCGTCTTTCTCCAGGCCTTTGCTCTCCGAGTAATGTCACCATCTCTCCACCGTGTGAGGACAACAACACAGTGTCTTGGTCCAGTGTGACGGGGGCTGAGATGTACATAGCCACAGCCACAGCCGATGATGGACACACACACACTTGCAGCTCCAATGCGTCGACCTCATGCCAGTTCACTGACCTTCACTGTGGGCAAAACTATTCTGTCGCCGTGGTGACCGTGGACCGGGGTTGTCTGAGCGAGCCGAGCTCAGCTGTGGAAGTGACGACTGGTGTGTTGAGTAGCTGCCTGGATGTTTTGAACACACTTGTGCGTGATTACTCACTTCTCTTTTTTTATCGAACCAGCTCTGTGTCCACCCACTAACTTGGCGGGCGAGGTCGCCTGTGACACCAATGCCGTGACCATCTCATGGGACCCGAGTCCAGTGCCGGGGGTTTCTTATATCCTGAAATACCAGAAGCTCTCTGGCACACTTCCTCCTTCATCGTGGACGACCTCAAACACCTCACACACACTCGCGGACTTACAGTGTGGACAGCGCTATGTATTCTACATTGCTTTCCTGGATGGGGCTTGCCACAGCAGCTACAGCCCTTCCATGGAATTAAGCACAGGTATGGAATGTTTACCTGCATTGGAGTATACAGTAAAAGTCTTTTTAACACGCGACAACTCCTACAATTATCAAAAAGGAAGAACCCTTCCAAAGAACAATGGTACACAGCACTCATGCCCACAGCAACAGCGGTATGAATATTATTATTATTGTCGCTGAATGTTTTCGTTCCATGTTCAGCTCCCTGCCAGCCCACAAACTTCACTGCTCACGTGGACTGCGGGCTGAACAAAGGCAACTTCTCCTGGGCTGAAAGCAATGGAGCAGCTTTTTACACAGTGGAGGTGACAGGGGAGCACGGCCATGTGGCATCTTGCGCATCCAACGACACCTCATGTGCTGTCAGACTCCACTGCGGCCGCCCCTACTCGGCATCTCTGGTGGCGTCCACCGAGAGCTGCAACAGCACTGAACATGCTGACATTTATTTTGATTCTGGTAAGCAAAGACTCCACCGCTGCCAGAAAATCATGCTTTTTACTTACTGTCCTTCAAACAACACTCTTGTTACCCTAAAACTGTGGAACAAATTTCCACCTGAGCTAGGAGCTTCCCCTTCCTGTCGACATTTAAAAAAAATACGTTTGTTTAGGCAGACATTCCAGTAGGACGTGTTTTGATTTGTTTAATCTTGTATTGACTGTATCAAGTTTAGGACTATATTTTAACCAAGTGAAGCACCTTGTAAGGTGATCTCTGTGAGAGACTGACTGATTGAGTGTTATCCCTCCAGTGACGCCATCGTCCTCCCACAGTCTTAATCCCATCATCCAGAAACTGAATTTTAGGTTACTTCAGTCCTCCACCACTGACCTGAATCAGCTGAGATAGACTCACCCAGAACTAAATCAGTGGTATGAAAATTGAATAGATAACTTTTCAACCTGTTTCCCATAGCGCCATGTCTGCCAGAAGATGTTGTCGCCGTAATGGACTGTTACACCAATGTGATGAACGTGACTTGGTCAGAGACCCCCGGCACGGACAACTACACGGCTTGGGCCATCAGCCTAGAAGGACACAGAGCTTCCTGCAACTCCACAATCAACAATTGCTCCATCCGTGACCTGCACTGCGGCCATGTCTACGAGGTGGCGGTCACCTCTTCCTCCGTTCAATGTGAAATCATCGCTGGTTCTGACTACAAGGTCCAAGCCGGTGAGTCCTGCTTTGTCAAACCAGAAACAATTTTCTTGTTTGTAGCAGAACAGATGCAATACGCATGGCTTTATGTCTTTTCTTCCTTTGTGTTAATCCCCTGTAGCTCCATGTAAACCGGAAAACGTCACGGGGGATCTCAACTGCAGCTCCAACATCATGACGGTGACTTGGCATCAAGTCAGTTCACTGGCTCAGAACTTCACCATTGAAGCCACATCGGTTTCAGGTGTGAACTCCACTTGTGAAACCAATGAGAATAACTGCTCCTTTTTGGACTTGAGCTGCGGTCAACTCTACACTTTCACGATAACGGGTCACACCAACGTCTGCATGAGCGAGATGAGCTACCCCACAGAGATGCTAACCGGTACGCCTTCTTCAAATTCCCCTCACAATTCCCTTTTTTTTTTCTTTCCTTCGTTCAAACTTGCTCCTCTCTTGTTCTCTAGCTCCATGTCCCCCCGGTGAGGTGTCCGCAGCAATAAACTGTACCACCCGAACAGCTCTGGTCAGCTGGGATACCACAGCGGCAGCCACAGCTTACAGCGTCCATGCAACTTCCACCAACGGACACAACTCCTCCTGCAGTGAGATGGGAGCGTCGTGCGAACTTGACAGCCTCGTCTGCGGACAGATCTACTCGGTTGTGGTGGAATCGATGCATACTGGGTGTGCCGGTCCGGCTGCTGCTCCAGTGTTGCTCACTACAGGTGAGCCCAAAGTCGCACTTGTAGCAACGTAACCTTTTCTCACCTCGAAACTTGAGGACTTATTAAAGATTTTTTTTTTCCGGACACATCAGTGGAACCCATTGTGTGTCCACTTCAAATGGAAGCATTTTGCCTTAACAAAAGAAAACCACCTCATCTCTCTCCCCAGATCCTTGCGTTCCCATGAACGTTTCGGTCTCCTACCGTGTAAATGATACCCGGGTGCTGTGGAGTGCGGCAGATGGAGCAAGTTCCTACTCAGTGTGGGCCGGAAACGATCAAGGCTGGATAGCCACATGTAACAGCACAGAAACGAGCTGCCATCTGAGCGGCCTGCGCTGCGGTCAGATCTACAATGTTACTGTGACGGCACACAACCACGGTTGTGATAGTTTCACCTCTGACGCCCACCGGTTTATGACAGGTGGGTCACAGTATCAATAATGGTTGTATGTGATAATCTGGTCGCTGTTGGTCAATCCTTTGTGCTGTTTTTCAGAACCATGCCCACCTACCAATGTTTTAGCCGATATGGAATGTGAGCAACTTGCGGTGACTATTTCCTGGGACCAGAGTGCGCTCGCTCAGGGTTACGTGGCCTATGTTTACGACCATGCCGGACACTACGTTTTGATGTGTGAGGCGGAGGGCACAACCGCCAGCTGTGCTGTCTCGGGACTCATGTGTGGCACCCAATACGACATGTGGGTCGTAGCCTTGGGAGAGGAGTACAACAGCTCTGACAGCACCACGGTCATGTTCACATCAGGTACAGACATGCATAAAGGTTATAAATGTAACACAAACTATCATCACAAAACAACTTTATATCATTTCAAAAGCCTATTCCAACACTACCCTTTAAAATATAATCATGTTGTTCTGAAATCTGCAGAGCCTTGCCAACCGGCCAGCATTGAAGCCATTATGGACTGTGAGACCAAATCCGCTATGGTATCCTGGCTACCCGGCCTTGGAGCCGCGTCTTACGTAGCTGATCTAACAGCCTCATCGGGCCACACGACAACATGCACCACCAACGAGACCCACTGCCTTCTCGGATCTCTGCCGTGTGGCGAGCAATACAACGTCTCTGTGGCGAGTGTGGGAGACACCTGCGACAGCACTGAGCGAATGTCAGGATATCTCACCACGGGTACTGTGTGATCCATTAAATGTTACACAGGTGTTGTCATAGGCGAAACCGATTTCATCGTTTAAAACTCCTCAATTTGCAGAGTCCTGTGTCCCGGTGAATCTGTCCATCCACTTCAATATGAGCGAAGCTCGCGTCACGTGGGGTGCAGCAAGAGGCGCCGGGTCTTATTGTGTCCAGGCTGTGAGCGATCAGGGTCTGACTGCAACCTGTAACAGTACTGGCACCCAATGCAGTGTGACTGGCTTGCAGTGCAGTCAGATCTACAACATCACCGTGGCAGCGAAAAATGACGTGTGCAACAACACCGCGAGATCGGAAACGTACCGCCTCATGACAGGTTAGTCGGGATAAACATACGGTACCAATTATCACCTTCCTTTTAGCCGCAGCTTTGACGCCATCTTGTGGATTCTTGGAGAATTTTAGAAAGACCGCAAAACTAGATGAGTCACAAATGATGATTTTCCTGTCATTTCAGAACCTTGCCCACCTACCAATGTTCAGGCCAATGTGGAATGTGAACAGCTTACGGTGGCTGTTTCCTGGGAGCAGAGTGAGCTCGCCGTGGGTTACGTCGTCTACGTTTACGACCATTACGGATACTACACTTTGATGTGTGAGGCTGGAGATAGAGACACCGGCTGTGTTGTCTCGGGACTCATGTGTGGCACCCAATATGATGTGTGGGCCATAGCCCGAGGAGGGGAGTACAATAGTTCTGAGAGCACAACGGTCTCGTTCACATCAGGTACAGACTTGCACCCCCCACACCAATGTAATGTCTGGGGCTCCTTAACAATTTGATGTGGATTGGAACTGAAATACATTATTGTGATTAGAGTACTCAGAAGAGCATAAAATATGTCAGAGAAAATGAATGGATGGACTTTAACCCATTCGCAAAACATTTTCATTCTCTATTCCTAGCTCCGTGCCTGCCTACCAACATAAATGTCGAAGTCGACTGTAACTCCGACGGGGTTGCAGTGGCGTCCTGGAGCCCTCCTTACGGCACAGCAAACATTTCCCTGACAGCCAGTGGAAGTCTTGAGTTTCCCTGCCAAGCTGAGCACAACAATGCGTTGAGCATTTGCAACCTGACGGGTCTAGATTGCGGCGAAACCTACAACCTGAGCCTCACTGCCAGCAACGACTACTGCAGCGTCACGTCACATATGCACTCGAATTTCACCACACGTAGGTTTGCCCCAAAATCTGTTTTCAAGCCTATCATGTCCAAAGTTTGACTGATAACACATCAATTCCGCAGGCCCATGCCGACCTCAGTATGTTGGTGTTGCCCTGCCGTGCGGTTCTGAAACTGCTGTCCTGTCCTGGGAGGAGAGTCCTGAAGTGGAACTTTACATGGGAAGCGCTATACTTAGCTCAGGCGGGGAGGAGCATTGGTGCAACGCTACAGGTTCTTCCTGTATGTTCCCAGACCTCTCCTGCGGGGAGATGTACAACTTTACCGTCAAAGCACTGAGTCACGGCTGCTGTAGCCAAGCCAGTGACTCTGTGTACATTCAAACAGGTATGAAAATGTGCGCTGCACTAAAGTTACCGATATTTGGGTTACCCTCTTTACCGATGAAACATTTTGACTGTAACTGTGATTTGTCTTTTATTGGAATTCACTAAATGATGCAGGTGGCTTTTCTTATGCGATAATCTGTTGTCATGACTTGTCTTTCCTCAACTCAGAGCCTTGCCAGCCTGTGATAGTGATGGCTCGGTCTCCCTGTCAGACTGAGGAGCTGCAGGTGTCCTGGAATCCCGCTCGCGGTGTGGTGTTTTACCTCATCACGACCACAGGAAGTCTGGGCTATGTGAGGAACTACAATACGACGCAGACGAGCCTGACCGCTGCTCTACCGTGTGGACAGAACTACAGCGTCATCGTGCAAGGACAAGGCAGCGAGTGCAACAGTGACCCAAGCAGCCCTGCCTTTGTCAAAACATGTAAGATCTCACGACAGTAGACCACATACAGTGGCTGATATGATCTCATTTGAAAGTTGCTGTGATAATTGTCAGTACATCTTCAAAATGGTAAAATGTTTTTTTTTTTTTTCTGTGCATGTATCTCATCTCATTACAATGCTTGGTTGCATTTGTGATTGCGTTTGCATCCCTCCTCCATCCGCAGCTCCATGCATCCCTCGTGATGTGATGACTCATGAGCAGTGCGGGGCAAACGCAGCCGCCGTTTATTGGCGGGCCAGTGATGGCGCCATAACATACGCCGCAGAAGCCATCGGTCTTGATGGACACAGCCACTGGTGTTACAGCAACCACAGCAACTGCACCTGGGACGACCTTCACTGTGGCGATGAATACACCGTCCTGGTGATGGCCGAGGATGAAGACTGCGCCAGCTTGCCCAGCAACAGCTCTGTCATCTACATGGGTATACACATTGAGATTAAAGTGCATTTTATTCAACAAGTCTTCCCTCGTGAACCTTAGATGTTCTTTGGTCTTCCTCTTCCTTCTTTTACGTGGCGGCTCATTTTCAGCATCTAAGCATGTCCGCACTATCTCGGTAGGGCTTCTTCCAGCTTTGTCTCCAAATGTTCCAATCCGCGCTATCCCTCTGATGAAATCATTCCTCATCCTTCCATCCTGCTCACTCCCAAAGAGAAACTTAGCACCTTCAACCCTACCAGCTCCAGCTCAGTCTTCTGTCCATTGCTATGTCACCAAGCTATCTAACATGGCTGGTCTCACTGCCATCCTAAAAAAAAAATCTTTCACTTAGAATGATGTTAGTCTGTCACAGACCACCCCTGACATTTTTGTTCTTCTTGCTTGTACTTTTTTTTCTCTCTTTCCATCAATCCCAATTATGTAAACTAGTCGTGCGTCTTCTCAGCGCCATCCTCGAATATCAGATACAGAGACTCCTGTCTGACCTCCTCGATGGCATTTATTCTGCTTTTTTTTTTTCTTCTTCAGAACCATGTTTGCCCCAGAATGTCCTTGCCTCTGTGGACTGTGAGGTGAACGCTATCTCGCTTAGTTGGGATGCCAGTAATGGAACAAAAATGTATGTGGTCTCACTTGACACGGAAGGCCAAAGTGTTATGCACAGCACCAATGACACCGAAGTGCACTTGTCCGGCCTTAACTGTGGGGAAAACTACAGCCTCACAGTGACACCTCACAACCATTACTGCGTCGGTATGACCAGCGTAACAACTTCCATACAGACCTGTAAGTCAAATACCACTAAAACTCAACATAATCACCAGAAGCTGTGAGGTTAGCTTCATTCATGTCTTGTCTCTTTAAGGGCCTTGCCCACCCAGGGAGGTCTACACCATGAAGGACTGCCTTTCTGGTATTGTCATGGTTGCGTGGCAACCCAGCAATGGGACAGACCACTACATGGCCACCATGGGCTCTGTCAGCGGCGTCTCTCAAACTTGCATGTCATACTCTGGCGAATGCAACATTTCTGGACTGACCTGCGGACAGAACTTTGCTGTGTCCGTCACAGCGTCCAACCAGCTATGTAACGTCACCTCCGTAGCATATCACAGTGTGCAATCAGGTGAGGTTTACGTGCCTTGTAACCATTCAAAACTCAAAATTGCACTCAAATTCTGGCCATGGTATGAATACATTTGCGCTTAACCGTACATCTATAGACAGTAAATTTAATGGCTTAAAGATCCTTGAGCTTTTGAATAGCCACCTAGCAGGGCAAAAACATACATGTGGCGAAGACTCTCTTAGTCATTTAAGCTAACAACGCAGGCTCGCTCTTAGCCTCTGCCGTGACATACAAAGATTTTAGTAACTCAGTTGAGTTATCACCTTCCTATTATTAAGATGCTATAGATAGAACTCAAAAAATGTGAATAGGTGAATTTGAGAACCGCAAACCACAAATCAGCAGGGGATTTATTGTACCAGAACATCATACTGGAGTGATTGGATAGTTTCTGTTTTTGTGACTATTTTGTTGTCTGTCATCCCCGTTCAGTGCCATGTGTTCCCGCTGACGTCTCCGTGGCGAAGGACTGCGATAGCAACACCGCTGCCGTGTCCTGGTCTGCCAGCGACGGTGCGACGCAGTACTTAGTGACGGCCTCCTGTTACCACGGCAATGTCAGCCACCAGACCTCCGACCTCAACTATACTCTGAATGACCTCATGTGTGGTAGCCGATACGCCATTCAAGTGGTGGCTATGGATGACAACTGCTCCAGTGTTCCCAGTCATGTTCTGATATTTGACACAGGTGAGGGGCTCCTACAAAGACCACCGTGCTATGAGTTGATAGCATTGTTAGCATGATACACGGGGACCGATTTTTAATATCTCAGCCATTTTTTAATGCGACACCAAAAATCTAAATACGCGCATGTACATTGTACGTGCTTGACAAGTTGAGCTAAGTGTCGAGCGACGTATGCTAGCTGCTTAATTCGTATACAACTGGAGCAAAAAAAGTGTTAGCACTGAAAGGCATGTTTGTGTGTTCCCAGCCCCATGTCCACCCCTCAACGTGACCACCCAGCTCAGCTGCATGTCCAATAATTTGACGGTTTCTTGGGACTCCGTCGGGTACGCTGACTACTTTTTGGTCTGGCTAAGTGAGGACAACGTACAAGGCAGTGGTGAGACCTTTAACACCACCGACAATGAGTGTTCCACCAGTCACCTGAACTGTGGGAGCAGCTACGCCGTCCAAGTCACAGCAGTCAAAGGAGATTGCCGGACCCAATCCAATCAGAACTACAGCATTTTGACAGGTGCGGAACCTCACCTGTAAAATCAATTTTTCATTGCACACATCACTCAGCAGACCAAGTCCCGCCTTTTAAAGCCACACACATACAAAGTTACAGATATTATGATGTGATGTAATGTGAGTATAGCAACCCCAAGTGGGACAAAAATAATACCTGCACTAAAGTCAATTATGATCCGTTACTCAATTAATTTGATTGGACGACTGGTCAAATAATCAATTCTAAAAATATTCAACTCAACTTTTGACAAATGAGTAGAAACCTCAGATGTGTGTTCTCTAATGTCGGGAGTAAACATAAAAAGTCAAAAATAAATACTCAAGTAAAGTACAGCTACCTGGAAAATCTACTCAAGTCCAGTATTTGTACTTTACTGTTCTCCGCCCTCCAAGTTCAAACCACTTTTGATCTCTCCAGCTCCGTGCCAGCCTCAGGGCATCCAAGGCAGCCTTGACTGTGTGACCAATTCTGCCTGGATCTCATGGGACTCTGCCCTGGGCGCCGACTGCTACGCCGTTTTAGCGATCGGGGAAGATGACAGCACAGCCAACTGTACCACCTGGACCAACACCACCTGCGAGGTGGAGGACCTGGCGTGTGGTATTCTTTATCACTTTAGCGTGACGGCCAAGAACAGCCAGTGTGACAGTTATCCCAGCGCCACCATTGACTTGCAAACAGGTCATTGATTTTCTCTCACTAAAGGTTCCCATTTTTGCTCTGCTGCGTGCCAACTTGTGAGCAATTACTTTTTAAGGGTAATCATATTAGAGGTTTACTGTGATCCCAAATGCATGGCCTTCCCCAGCTCCCTGCTCCCTCGCTGGCATCACGGCCGTCCCTGAATGCCACAACGCTTCCATCCTCGTTATCTGGGAGCTCGCGGAAGGCGGCGAGGGAAACACCGTGTACATCGCCACAGCCGAGGCCAGCGACCACACGTACCTGTCCTGCAATGGCACGGGCACAAACTGCACCCTGCGCGGGGCACAGTGTGACCTCCACTACACCGTCATCGTTGCCGCTTCATCAGACCGGTGCAGCAGTTTGAGAAGTCCGCCTTATAGACTAAGCATGGGTACATACAGTCCTTTTTCTTTTCTTTGGGGGGGTGGGGGGGATTTTTGACAAAGCCGTTGAAAAGTCTCACATGTTGGACCAGACAAAGTTCTCAGAGTTCCAATGTTCTTCTCAGAACCGTGTCCACCGAGCGAAGTGACTGTCAGAGCCTCGTGTGAGGACCACAGCGCCCTGGTGTCCTGGACCTCCTCTCCGGTCGCCGCGACTTACTATGTTGTCGCATCGGCTGCGGACGGACACACGCATACCTGCAGCGGCTCCTCTTCCACTAACTGTAGCTTGTCTGGGCTGCATTGCGACGAGCAGTACACGGTCTACGTGACAGCCAGTCATGAGAACTGCACCAGCATGGCCAGTCACAATGTTACCTTCAGCACGGGTATGTGCTATACCGACTACTTATGTCAACTTGAAAACTCTGCCTTGAATCGTTTATCCATAATATTTTTTTCCTCATTTTTCATTGTCAAATCTCGCCGTGTCAACGTACACAATACATACAACAACTAATCCGTGATTCCTTCCAAACCTTGTGCAGGTCCCTGTCAGCCCGAGGGTCTCTCGGTCGCCTTCCACTGCAGTAATGAGTCTGCAGTCCTCTCGTGGACCCCCAGTGATAACGCTGTGGACTATTACGGCTGCGCTCAGACATGGAGTGGAGAGATGCTTTACTGTCACAGTACCTATCCCACCTGTACCATTTCTAATCTGAACTGCGGGACTCTTTATAACTTCACTGTCCAGGCCTCGGATGGCACGTGCAACAGCTCCTTCAGTGATCCGGTGCAAAGAGGAGCAGGTAGCTACTGTTCAAATGCGGTGGTAAATGCAAATGTGGTGGTGATGCATGTTCATTTGTTTCGCCTGTCAAGTTAAAAATGGTTGATCTAGGAAATTCTCCCCCGCCTTTTCAGCCCCGTGTCCGCCAGACGCTGTTGAAGTGCAGCCTATGATGATGTACGCGGAGATCCAGACTTTGCAATTCACCTGGACAGACATCAGCTGCGCATCCACAGAGTACCTGCTGAGGTTATCGGGGAACCTGCTGGGAGACAGCCAGGCCCGCTTCGAAGTGTCTTCCTATTGGACAACCACGACCTCGTTCGAGATCCCGCTTCCCTGCGGTTCCTACTATGTGGCTACAGTGGAGAGCAGGAACATGGCTGGAACCAGCAACCAGTCTGTGCCTCTTCATGAGACAACAGGTAGAACGTCTAACGTCTACGCTCGGTGGTCACTTGATTAGGTACATCGCAATCAAATGGGATCCGACATAGGAGCGGTTGTCAGCGACTGTTATTGTTAAGATTTTGTTGTTGTTTTGTTTGTTGGATTCTGTTTTTTTTAAAGGAACATCAACTCTTGGGGCTGTTTCTATACCTTTCAAATTCCAAAAGGTTTTGTTTTTTTTGTTTTTTTTTTTTTTAGGTCGGAGGCATAATAGAACCAGAATAGTCGTATTTTTAAAATGCTGAATATGATTTTAATGTACATGATATGTACATGGAAATACTGTAATATGATGACTTTATTTGAGAAAAATACATTTTTCTTGTCAGTTCTTATTTCTTGTAAAGGCTCTGACAATTATTTTTTTTTCTCAAAAAAAATATAAATTTTGTTCATCAGAGTTATTTTGAACCTCTTGTCACAATATCACAAAAAATGCTAAGGTGCTTGCTAAAAGTCATCCAGGTCATCAACAGACACAAAGGTTGGATCGAGGCTTGTTTTTCGACTTGTTTGTTGAATTTGTCGTTTTCTATAAATGTTCAAAAATTGCTTTGGCAATTATGCTAGAAGGCATTTATAAGGCAACTTTTAATTTTTAATCCCGGTGGCACGAAAGTGAACACATGGTAATTATCGAATGGTTTAACCTTTATTGGGATTATGTGGGGATTCACGGTAAAATGTCTCCCCTCGCGGACTCCCTTATGAGGTGTACCCAATGAAGTGTCTGGTAAATTATGTCACATTTGTAAACGAAAGATTTAGAAGCTTTCCTCATCTCTCATTTCTATCCCCCCCCAGCCCCATGTCAACCGTCCACAGTGTTGTACAGCAGCAACAGCTCAGTCGCCAAAGTTTCCTGGAGCCCTTCCGTGTTCGCCACCACCTACACCGTGTACAAGCACAACATCTCACTCAGCTCCCGGCTGTGCACCACCAGCGGCCTGGCCTGCTTTCTGCTCATCAACATTGCCTATTCAGACCTGCTGGTCACGGCCAGTAACGCAGCCGGGGAAAGCCGAGGGTCGACCGTCGCGAGCGGTAGGAGCGAACGCTGACTTAAAAAGTTTGAATTGCACAATTCACTTTGCAGAATCTAATCCAGTTTTGTCTTTAGTGGTGTCACACGAAGTCAGAAAACGAGACCTCAGTGAGAGTGGTAAGTTGTTTTTCCTCTAATTTCATAGAAATTAATTTTTTAAAGTTACTGATTATTTTATCAATTCAAAGGTGCCACTTTTTGAATTATTGAGGTCACATTCAAGGATATGTAAAATATATTCAACGGAGTACGTTTTTTTTTTTAAATTTGAAGGCAGGGAATGAGTTAAAAACAACGGGAATGGAGTTGACCCACTCTAATTCTCTAATCGTGTCTTTTCCGGTCGTCTTTTTCAAAAGTTCCTGTGTTAAACGTCTCACTGCTGACCAATTCGTTGGTCATGGCGGAGTGGCCTCAAGAAGACGTTGCGAATGACACCGCTTACAAGCTAGTGATCTCGCAGCAGCGGGCCAACTCCGAGTCACCCCAGGAACTCATCGTACTCGGGCAAAGCTACATCCTCACTGATCTGAGCCCCAACTCTACTTACTGCCTCACCGTGTCTGCCTGGAGCGAAACTAACGTTGGACCGGCGTCGGATTCTGTGTGTTTGGAAACAGGACAAGCTAGCTAGCAATCATTGTGTATAACACCACCTATTCACACACAACAAGCCTGATCATAATGTGACAGATCAAATCACACGACACCTTGTAGCTTTAGACCTTGTAGCATACAGGAAAGACTTGTTTGGGGGTCGTGATCTTGGTTGTGCAATGCAACATTTGGATACAAGGAATTAAGTTTTCCATGTCAACTTGAGTAACTTTTGTCCATATAGTGTATATTAACTGAGTGACACAATATGCTGATAGTGCTGATGATTGCAACATCTTTCTGTGATTAAAACCCCAAAATCCATTGTGAAATAGTGGCTAAAGTTTTATACTGTGCGGGTTTGTCTATTGACTCATAAATATATACATTAGTCCTAAAAAGTCATGTATCGGGGATATTTCAAATTTAAAGTGTTTCATCTAAATGTGTATTGCAAAAAAATATTTGCAGTGTGTGTTCTAAAAAAAAACATGGCTTTTGCATGGCTAGTGACATAATCCTTCCATTTCTTCCGAACCAGAAAAAAAAAAAAATCCTGTTCCCATTGTTCATAAAAGTATTTTATTAGAAAACAAAAGCAACAGAGCAACAACTCAAGACACATGACAAGCTGTGGTCTCAGCTGCACCCTTTGCGGACTCTACTTGAAGGGATTAAAACATTCTCAGGTGGTCTCCAGAATCAGAAACGGAATCCATCAGATCAGTTGTGAAGTACACAGATGCATCGACATTTCGTTTATGCATTTATTTCTTTTTTAGAAATCGTGGTATGTGGCTAAATATGGTAGCATTTAGCTCGGCCTGACTGTTCCCAACACATGGATGAATGCAACTCCTGCCACTGATGTGTCGACAAGTCTCAGAAACATGAGATATATACAAAAATCATATTTTCCAGGGGCCGAAACGATGAACCATACGAAATTAAAACGCCACCCTTCCAATGTCAAGTGAGGACTAACGACGGCTTACTAGGACGTGAAAAAAAGCAAAAACCAAACGACGATTCCGGGTGACATTCAGTCTATGAGACAAGAAGTGGATTTAAAAAAATAATAATGTAGCAAGTGACATCACTCAACGCTGGGACTCCTTCGCCGCTCGCCGTGTTTGCTGTGGTCGTTACTGGCCTCTCGCAGGTGATGGCTCCGCTCTCGGCTGCGACTGCGTTTGTGCGAGCGTTGTTCTCCGTCTCGTTCTTTCTCTCTGCTGTGGCTGCCGTCGCGCTTCCTGCTCTTCTCCTCGCCGCCGCTCTTGTGCCGCCTCTCCCGGCTGCGACTCCGGCTCGACTTTTTGGCCTTGCGCTCTTCCCTGTGCCTGTCCCTGTCATCTTTGTGTCTCCTGTCGTCGCTTTCTCCTTTGCTCTTCCTCTCCCTGGACCTGTCCCTCTCGGCGGGTCGCTCCCTGTGATGGTCCCGCTCCTTCCTCTTGCTCCTATCGTCACCTCCGTCCCGCTCCTTGTCTTTGCGCTCGCTCCTTTTGTCCCGGCTGCCGCTGCGGCTCCGTCGCCGCTCGCGTCGATCTTGGTGGTTTCGTTCTGCGCTGCGGGATCGTCTCCTCTCCCTGTCCCTATCGCGCTCCCTGGCATCCCTCTCCTTCCTCTGACGCTCCCGCTCCCTCTCCAGCTCGCGGTCGTAGCTGGGGCCATGGCGGTCTCGTTCGCGGTGGTGACTCCGGCTCCTCGACCGCTTTGGAGAGCGTCTGGGGCTCGGTGTCCGCCTGGGGGTCCTGCGAAGAACACTGCCGTTAATAACAAGGCCCGGCCGGCTCCGGGCTAAAGAGTTCAAGAAATTATCTTTCAATTTGTTTTGGGAAATGATGAGACGTTTCGTTCCAGCATGCAGCGATTTTGAGACAGGGATTCCATCCGACAAGTTTCTAAATGACCTTGAGGGCCGACGGTCCCCTTGTCGCCCCGGCTCGTCGAAGGCCTCTTCCTCCTCCGGCAGCTCTTTCTGAGGCACCTTCCGAGGCCTGCTCTTCATCTGCTGGTCGATGCTCTTTTGCACAGGCACCGGGATGCGGGGGAACAGAGTGGAGAACCACTCCAGTTTGGTGAGGAAGGAGCGCAGCATCTCGCCGACGGTCATCACGCAGCCACCGCCGGCCTTCACGTCCAGCTCCTGGAATCAAATGGTGGCGGGCGGCCCGACAGGAAAACGGCTTAATAAATCGGTAGGGCACATTGTTGCATCAACTCAAAAAAAGGCAATATGTGATGGCCAAGTACTGAGCCTTCACCTCTGTTCATCTAGCTTAATCTCTCTAGTCAAATGTGTCTGCCTTTACTTTTACCACATGGAGGGGGGGAAAACAGAATTAAGTGTCACACATGGTTTGGCTCATCTAAACTGTCTAGCATACATCTGTGCTCACAACAGTGAAGCATTGGTGATGGTAAAACGTTAGCAGATTAGTGACACCCCATCTGGCTCGCCACAAAGTATGTTCATCTACTTTTAGACTGAGAGTAGATGAGGTGAAGTAATCTGAGCACATTGAGCTCCGTTCCTCACTTTACTAAAATGAAAGAGAAAGAAACATGAGCTGCCTCCTCCTCCTTCCCTCCTCAGCATAATGGGAGTCTCGTGGAGCTTGTGACGAGACAACAGGCCACACTGGAAGCACAGATGTGGGCAGGGGGGGGGGGGCGAGGGCACCCCTCCCTCGCTTGAAATGGTCGTTAACTTTGTATGGTAGAGAACAGCCGCTTTGCACTCACACACGCAAACCAACAGTGCTGAGATACACTATCCAATTCACCTGCAGCACAATGGGCATCTAAAGAAAAAAACAGGGGAATTAACCAGTTGTTTAGAATTCGGAATGAGAGAGATAATGTGAATATTTCAATTCAGTAGAATGCAGAAAAGCAAGAGAGGCCTGGTTGCACACCTAGAATCAAACACGTAACACCGAGCACGTCATTAGGTACAGCTGAACAATTTCGCGACGCCCGATGGAAGAGCCGCGTCAAATAGTTTGACTATAAAATGGCCCGGTGAGTGACGCGAGACTCGGCGAACGAGAGCGTCGAGTTGGCCGTTGTGAGCGCAGGTTAGCGGCTTGCTGTTAACTAGCTAACCCGCAGGTGTCAAACTCCGGTCCTCGAGGGCCACTGTCGCGCATGCTTTCGGTCTTTTGCTCCTCTAACACACCAGATTCAAATGATCAGCTCGTCAGCAATCCCGCAGAAGCCTGATAATGATCCGAATCATTTGAATCAGCCGTGTTGGTGGAGGCGAAACATCTAAAACTGGAGTTTGGGCGTCGGCGATGCCCATAGCCGCTTGTGAATAATTGTATTACGTTTATTTCGTTACGGTTTGTTCAGTAAAAGTGATAAAAACTGCACTGGCAAATAACTATTTTTTTCAGTAGTGTTTGGTGTAAAAAGTTTGAGAACCACCGTTAGCTGTAATATTAACATTTTCTTGATATAGTGAATTTTGTTTAATGTTGGCTACAATCATCAAAATTAGAAAATCAATTAAACTGAACTACTGACAAGCACCCCACCCCACGCCTAAAAATATATTCTAATTTATTGAGAACGAATTGAGGCCAATATAGAAGGAAATTATGAGTTCAGTTATTATATTGCATCTCATTACGATTGTACAGCTACACCTCGTAAAGTGCCCAGTGAGTGCAACAACACTGCTTGCTACACGAGAAGAGGTTTGAATGTGTGCATCAATACAATTGCCAATTACAGAGAACTCTTTGGTGCAACTAGTCCTGGTCAAATCTTGACAAAAGCATATGGACATGCCTTAATTAATTAATTAATAAATAAAATAAAATAATAATAAATTACACATGACTAGTAAAAGATGTGCTCTGCGTCATTTAAGGTACTTACCCCGACAACAACCAGCAGCATGGAAGTGAGCAAGTAACCTAGCTACTCAGGTTTACAGGACAAAACTGCGAATAATTAAGCCAAATGAAGGCAAAGGTGAAAAATCAGCTATGAGCATCACAGCAGGAGAGGGGGTAATGGGGAGGGGGAGGGGTCAGTCTCAACGCATGGATCGCATGTGTTTAATGAAGAGAAATAGAAACATAATAGTATTACCAGGCGTGACATACCTCCTCATCATCCATGAATCCGTCATACCAGTCGATTAAATCGGCTGGGGGCTGTGTGTATCTGAACAAGATTCAAGAGCGCGTCAAAAACCGATACCTCGGGGTATTTGCGCTGCGGCGCGGCGGCAATGACCGATAAGCGTACCGTATGTACATGAAGCCGAGTGCTCTGATGTAGGGCGAGTCGGTGTGCGTGATGAGGCCCATCAGCTGCTTGCGTGTCAACTTGAGCGTAAACAGTTTGTATAGTAGACAGAAGGCCGTTGACACAATGCCACCTGTGCCAACTCCTCGAACCTAGAGGGGATCGAGTCCAAAACAATTTATCGGCTGCGTTGTGGCACACTAAAACAGTCTATGTATGCCAAACATTAACTGAATTGTTTATGATTGGAAGTCTTTTCAACTTAGTAACGTCATCCTATAATATCAGTGAGGCAAGGGAGGACTGCAAGAGGGTTAAGGATGGGGGGAAAAGAAAAAGCACGTACTTCTCACTTACCCCTCCGCACATTCCAGTCTGACCTGCAGTCTTTCTGCTTCCTTTCTCCCATGGCTCAACGTGAGTCACCTGCAAGTTCAGGAAACAGATGGATGGATGACCTACTGCCCACACCATCCTTCTCACAAATTATGTTTGTTTGCACTATTTAAGTCAAGTTTGTAAGGCCAATGATGCTATTTTGAACACGTCAACACTGAGAATTTTGGCCTGTACCAGCTCATTGAACGATACTTTTAACTGAAACTTGTGAATCATTCAGAAGGGTTTCTCCAAGTAGCAGACAACACAAAAGCATTGAGGAAATATGCTGAAAAATAATTTATTGTACAGTTTTACTGTCATTTAAAGGCCTTATTTGACTACATTCTATGTATGTGATACTACACAAAAATATTCCCCCCAAAATCCAAATTTCCCTTTTTGGGGGAAATCTTATGTTGTTTTTGTTGTTGTTTTTTTTTTTTTTTTTTTTTTAAGATGCCAGCTATCGATATAAAAAGGTGGCAATTTCAATAAAACTATATATATAGCGTGCATGTCATTTTAAAGGGGTTTCCGGCCCTTGCCAATGAAACAGGTGTCTTTGAAACTAGAGCAATCTCTTCACATGACTACAAATCTTTCGTAAATGCTGATACCGGCGTGGGCTGTTTCCGAGACAATTGCAACATTTGTAATTAAACTCTCTTCTTGTATTTAAAATGTAGATGCTCTACGACAGCGCACTAACGCCACTTTGTTAGCTTAAAATGATATGCAGATAATTTGGACACTGTGCGTTCAGGATAACGAGCACATAAATGTGAAGTGTTTCTAATTTAAATATGGCAAACACTTCCCTTGAGCTACTCGAACCCATGGTAGCAGTTAGCGACGCGCTAGCCTAGCCTACCCAGCTGCGGTTAGCCAACAAGCATGCAGATTAGCATCGGCCAACGTTACCTTGAAATAGATTTCGTCCACAACTTCGTGGTAAGTCTTTAGCTCATACAGCTGAACTTTGAAATACGGCGAGGACAGGACATTAGTAAGAATCATCGGGTTGAGGTTCATAGTCTTTTCGTTGCCCCACAGGGGCAATACGTTGCCATGTTTTCCGGACGCGGGCTTGCTCACGGCCTGGCTCCCCATGTTAGCCATGTTGGCTAAATCCCGCGACGCCGAGCTTCTCAAGTACGGTTGGACTCCTTCCAGTTACAAATCCATCTGTTTTACTTCAGTCCAATCCCGATTGTTGCCAATCTGGCGAGTTATCGGTACAAAATCGTTGGCGAATGGACGATAACAATTGAGCGCCGTCGATGTTGGAGCTAATGCGCTGCCTATGATGATGCGAAGTGGAACCGGAACTGGATGGTGGCGAGGTGGTGCAGTGCTCTCGCGCAACGTCAACGTGGGATGGTGAGGCGCATATTTTTGGTTATATTTCTGTGGAATATTTTGAAGTTGGATTTAACTACAATTGGATGTTCTGTAAGTATCACGCCTCCGTAATTTTAACACAAATCTCAACAACTGCCTTTCATTTTCTATGTGTGGCTGACAACGAAGCAGACAGACGGGTGACCGGCTCTCTTGCTCGCTCGAACGTAACCAATTTCAAAGATTTTTTAAAAAATTGTGACATGCTAGATTAATTTAAAAACATACAGCAACAACTTTGTCTATACAATTCAATACATTTTACCGCAGCAATTATTTTTCTTTCGCTCTTATTTTGCGCATGAGACGTCAGTATCATAAGGCGTGCGCAGTCATGATCCCAACGGTTAGAGTTCCATCTTTTTTTTTTTCAGCGGTCGAGTCCGTTTTATGAGAAATAAAACATTAAGTTTCAGTTTCTGGAAGCCAAAAGCGTCCTTGGGTTTAGACGTTTTTAAACAGTAAAAATACCCACACAAAATATTAAACGTTTTATTCATCATACATTTCTGTGGAGTGAATCAAAATGACATTAGCGGTACTTACAGTGCTAAACATAACAGTACAACCATGTATTTTCTTTTCGTAACTGCAATAAACACTGACAAAAGCCATAATTTGACCATTGCTGCCAATACTCTATACTATTTTAAGACTTCAAAAATGTGACTTGATCATAATGAATGTGTGGTTGTGTGTTTAGATAGCTTTTCATACTTTATTTTGCACAGCTAGGAACTTTACATGAAGATATATTCTGTGAAAAGTAAGCTTTTTCAAATCCATTTCTCAGTATACCATAAAAATTGACTCGAAGGACATTCAAGGTTTTCTAACAACTCTTGCTATACACTCATTTGTTGAGCATTATCTATTAAGATTAATTAAAATAATACTTTAAATAAAAACAATTTATGACCATTAGTGTTAAACATCTTAACTGCATTGTTACAAGACAGTAATTTACCTGTGACAAAATTACATGACTTACATTAAATAAATATAGAGTCCATAGAACAGTTAAAGTACCTCATGTCACACCCCCTTCACTTATCACCTTCAAGCATCGGCTTTGCAGTCGCAAGGGTCAGAACAGAGATAATAAAGAATAAAACATGGGTGAAATGCCTTGATGTTTTATGAAATAAGAAATGACTGGGAAATGGTAGCTTATCCATACGCTCACAAAACACCAGTAAAAGATGCAAAAACCTAGTGGAAATGACACACACTCAAAAAATGTAAAGTAATGCTGAATAGTTTTGCATTCATGACATTAATAACCTTTTCTTGAAATGTACAATGATTCCAGGATCACTGATTCCTGCTCAGCTGCTTCCCATGCACTCAGTGGCCTTCAACTGCACTTGTTGGATACTAGAGGGACTTCCTGGTCTACAGATGCTGTAGGTATTCCCGTACTGTCCTGTCCTGTACACAACTGCTGGCTCTTCGTGGAATGAGGAGCAGGCGATTTCTGACGCCGCTTCCGAATGCATCAATGTAATTAATACGGCACCCTTCACGATGGTCACGCGCTTCTCAAAGCTCAGTGCTTGATCACCACCTGTTCAAATGCTCCAGCTGCAACCCTGAAAGAAAAGGCCACACATATTTCACATTCCAAGAAACGAGCACACACTTGTAAAAATGGTTGGAATTAAACCTCATATTATGACTGGACTTATTTCATGAAATGGGGCACACACACACACACACACATTGCAGTTACATAACACCCACCGAATGTGCTGGCTTCCCAAAGCCGTACTCCCGCCAGGACCGACAAACAATCGGAGTCCTTCCTCTGTGACAAGACACGCACACAAATACATTACAATATGTAAATGCCATGGCAAAAAATAACTTAAAATGAAAATAGTTGGCGACTGCGCCCCACATCATGTGACTGTTGTGCTGCAATTGAAAAACCTGACCCTGTATCGGGTTTTGAGGCGCTACTGCACTGCATTATTTATTTAGTTATTTTTTGATGAACCACAAAAACATTGCGAAATTGTCAAGGATGAAGCAGATTCCCACAAAGGGAGGAAACGGGCCCTAATTGAGTTTTTTAAATTAATTGTTTCATCCCACCGATGCCCCAAAGGGATAGGGTCCAGTTCACCAACAACTCTGAACAGGACGAGCCTTATAAAACAATGGATGGACGTGTGGATCTTAATATGAAAAAATGTAGTGATAGCATGATGCAAGTTAAAAAGGGTTCTTTCTGTAAAATCTATGCTTTAAATGAATAATGTCAGTTCAGCATCCAAGCTGTCCATTTTCTGCCTCGCCACGACCGGCAGAAAATCTTATGCACTCAAGTGCACTGGGACGGCGCATCACTTTAACGTAATTTGATTCCATCAGCAGGATGCTAGCTGACTTCCCAGTTTTAAGTACACACCCTCCGTACTGGAGTCCAAGATACTGTGACTGAAATCCTGGCCCTGCAGGATTTTTTCAATGATGTCGTCTGCGTTGACCCTGGTGTCGTTTACCCTCGTCAGCTGATTCTCCATTGAGTTCTGCTTGACCGGATGTCTAATTGGCAGATAAGAACAAGGTGGGATATTGTGTAAATCTATTCGATGGGACATTCAACGTTCAATTGTTTATTGACTTCAAAACACAAATTCCGGATGGATCATCCTTGTGCGCATATTCACGTGTTCATTCGGGCGGATGTGTGTGTTACCTTGACGTTTTGGCAGTTGTGCAGTTCTGTTCTGTAGCGTGATGGCAGCTCGCGGGGTTTGGCGGAGAGGACCGGCTCTCCTTATCTGCTTTTTCTGTTTGCTGCTCGCTGGGCTCCGGGATACTGTCGATGCCTAACGAGGCAGAACCACCTGACGCGTTCCTTCGATGTCTCAGATCTGGTGAGCTGGAATGATTTGAACTGTAGCCTGTAAAATAAGATTAGATGGAGGAGATGAGAGGAATACTGTATTTGTCCCGGGGAGAATGTGTGTGTGTGTGTGTGTGTGTGTGTGTGTGTGTGTGTGTGTGTGTGTGTGTGTGTGTGTGTGTACCCGAAACTTTGGACTGTTGACTGGTGTAGCTGGATGTTCTGGTGTGACCACTGGGAAGCCTTTCCTCTAGGACTGGAGTCGCTGAGGAGAGCAAAAATCTGCATTTTAGTAAGACCTTAAAATTCTTTACTTCGTTTTATCCTAACGTAAGTCTTCCTCAACAAAGTATATACTCATGCTATATTGTGTTTACAGTCTTGTGTGGATTTTGTTCAATCAGGCAGTGTTTTTTTATTCATTCAGCTCCTTCACACTATTTTTTGATGAATGTTTCATAATCATGAGCTGCAACGATGGTATCCTGTTGAGATCCACCACCCAGCTGTCAATGTCAGTTCTAAATTTTCTCTTGAAGAAGCCCCTTTTAAAAAGTGGATCGCATTTTCCTCTGCAACGGCTATAGCGGCCTCTGCTGCCCCAAGTGGTAAAAGGAAGGATGCCGAGGCCATCTGTTTTAATGTCAAGATGGTCAAGAATTTTACATTTATGGCTTATTAGAGGCTGTTTGTGTGTGTCGCTACCTGTTAGCGAATGGGATGTGTGCATGTCTCCTCCCTTACGCTCCTCGAGGAGACACGCTGACTCAGCCTGCGGTACACCCAATGTCATGGCTGTGGATGAGGGCCTGCAAGGAGAGCGAGAAGTTTTCTTTTTTAAAAGCAGATCATTAGATGATGGACCTCAGTTGACTTTCAAGTTGTTGTCATTTTTAAACAATGTAAAGCGTGTCAAACCGCCGCCATGTTAAAATCTTTAACTTGACAGGCGTCTTTTAACTACTATTTGAAGAATTAGTAGAGCAGACAAAAAAACGCATTACTGTCTTTGTCGAGGCGAGACAATAGACACTAAAATACGTCACGACTTTCCTTTCTGGTAAGAGCATGAATACACGTTAAGTTAGAAATGGATGATTCATGAGTGGATTTCAATTGTCATAACTTGAGTACCACGTGCTGCAGCAGACACGAATAGACGGGCCACACCCTTTATTTCCTTCTGTGTTGCTATGTTAAACACACGAATGACCAGGGTGGGGAAGCAGAGTCATAATTCCATTGCGCGGTGCTATAAATCCATCACATGCAGTGAGTAACACCGAGTGGGATGAGTGACCGGGCTGCCACTAGTTGACACTTTGGGCAGGCAGTTCCTTGGCTGCAACTTATGTACAGGGTGTTCCAAGCCCCGCCCCCGATCCCCTAAAAAAGAAAATAAAATAGGGCAAAAATAGAAAATGGGAATGTGCAACTTCAGATATTGCCCAATAATATCACTTTGACAAAAAAAAAAAAAAAAAAAAAAGAATATAAAATAACATAAAGGCAAATTCTGCCACAAGAACTGGTCTTGAATGACTGTTCTTTGTTTACTTTGCACAAGACTCTGGCATGCAAAGAGGGCTTGACTTCCTTGGTATTGATCTTATCACTTTATCAGCTGTCGCAAAAGAACATGAATAACCGTAGGGCGCGTTATCAGCTCTCAGATAAAATCTGAGGATCAAAATGATACTTTGATCTCCGTTGGGTAATTTTCACATCAGAAAACAGAAAGTGCGTCAGTGAATTGACAGACAGGATGTTACTCTGATTTCTAGAACATGCAGCAGGATGCCCCTAAAGGCTGAAGAATTTGGACGCAAGTGTTCCATGCAAATCTGGCTTCTCGGAACGATCTGAGCAATGTTATTGAAGGAAAAAAAAATATACATCACAAAGTCCGCTATGCCGAGATTGAAGAGCAGAGACTTAATTTGACTCAAGTTGCCGTACGTTGTACAATTGTATGCAGGTTGTGTAATAGATCATGTCAAGTTTCTCTCTCCCAACTAAAAGCTACGCCTCAGAAGGTGAGTAGTTTTATTTTGTCTGCATTATGCAGTCAGTGACGTCTCCACAAGTATTTTTCTACGACAATAATGTTAAACTACCAGTTAAAAAACATTGTATCGTTATGTTGTATGATGGTGACAGTTGAATGAAGCCAAGTGTTAGCCTAATGTTATTATTTGCTATAGGAAAGATTGCCTTGAAAGAAATTAAAAAAAAAAAAAAAAAAAAAGTTGTAAACCCCCCTTGACAATTTTACTTAAAAGAATTTCAAATTAGATTTATGAACTGGAGTCAAAGAGGGCATCCTCACGTTTTAAAACAGGGGTCCCCAGACATCAGTTGCGTTGTGATGACAACCTGGAAGACAAGATAAATGTCAACTAGGAGGATGACGAACAATCGCTTCGATCAGAAGAAGGGGAACATTTTATGGCACGTTTTTTTCTTTTGGGCTATTCCGAATTCTGCAGCACATGACCAAACTGCATTTCATTCTAGCACCAACTACAAGTATGATGGTTTTGAGACCAATCTTGACAACATGGCGTGATACCTTAAGAATTGAATTGTCCTGTCTGGTTTTCTTGGTATCATATCCCTCCAGGAGACATCTTCTTGTCGTGCTGCCTGAGCCAGCAAACTCAGACAGGTTTAAATCAGCAAAGCCCAGCTGCACGTAGTAGACAAGGCAAAATTAGTTACTTGTTAACGGCGTGGATTCTGAATTACAGATACAGTATTTCAATCAGTAAGCCGGAACTGTACATAAAAGCAGTCACGGTGTGAAAAGTACATCGAGGGCCTGCTGTTGACCGCTAGCTTGCGTAAAGGGAGTGATAACATTGTTCCAATTGGATTATTGATTCTGAAGCTCATGGAAGAAATACCTTTGCAAATGATTTCCCACCCTTCAATTCCTGGAATGACAAAAACACCAGAATTAGTTAGCATCCCTAAGTGGATTTTATTATAGAGCATGAGCATTTATGGGTTACATAACTTTTGAATCAACTTTCCTAGAATATCACAGTGGTGCCAGATTTACACTATAAACCCCTCTACGCGATGACTTTGGGATCCTGGTTACAAAATTAACATTGCTTCTTAACTTACATAATGATTTTTATTACTCGACACTTTCAATTCTCACTTCCGGCATTTTTGTCACATCGACAGAATGAATCTTGGGGCCCGATACCTGACACTTACCTTGCGCACTGACACCCTACACACACATGGATCCAGTACACCTGTCCGGGCATTAGCGCTCATCTTACACATGAAGGAGAAGCGTTTCCTCCAGTGCACACAGTTGGCTTGGACGGGCTCCCTAGAAAGAAAGCAGATTGAAAAACTTGACTCGAACTCACCACAGGATGGGATTCGAATATTGATATTCACGGTTCTAAATGGCATTCACATGAAAATCACAATTCTGATTTTATATATACATGCGGTTAGAGCCCCCGCAACTAAAACAGAAAATAGAGCGTACAATTTGGTTTGTCTGAGCAAACCATTACCGCGGCGATGTTTTGACGACTAACGATGGGGTTGGCAAGAGTTACGTCTCAGCTCGTTTTTCCGCAGTGACTCATATTGGCTGTACGCAACAGATGAACAGTGTTTTTTTTTCTTCTTCAAAGGAAGGAAGTTATTTTTATTTTGGTTATCACCATGGAGTCCCTAAACTGTCCGCACATTTTGCCTTTAGAAAAATGTATGACTAAACCCAGGACCTCGGAACTGCAAAGCAGAATTGCTAACCACTAGGGACCTGCGCTGCTGTGTTCACATACAGTACTGTAAAAACAATAAATCAATCCATAATACTACCTGTAAAGGTTTTTTTTTTGCATTAAATAGTAGTCAGTGACAGAATTGCTGTCAGCTGACTATTATGGTTTTGAGACATACCACTTTAATAAATAAATATATTAATTTACAATGATCTCTTAAACTATTGAGCCAAGTGGTTGCGAGGCAACAAATAACATCACTGCAGCAGTACAATCACCATTCCATTGTACATTGAGTGTACAATAATAAGTATTCCATTGTAAATTGTGTAAACTAAGTTCTGCCTTGTACAATAAGTAAAGTAAATTCAAGTATTCCCTTGCAACCACATACAATAACTAGTTAAAGTACCTTCTTGTACAATAAGTAAAGCTTAAGTATCCCCCTGTCTCCTCATACAATAAGTTAAAGCGCTCGCTTGCCTTGTACACTTGTACAATAAATACATTAATGTACTGTACTCCATTGCACCTTTTCACAAAAGTATGTTAAAGTATTCCTTTGTACACTGGTACAAGTTAAAATACTCCCTTATATAAGTAGGCTGAAGTACTCCCTCGTACAATACACAGTTAGTTAGTGAAATAGTTGACGTACTAAGTAAGTAAAAATATTTCCTTGTACCTCGCAAAATAAATTTAAAACTTGCTTGAACCCTTGTGAAATAATTAAGGTAATCCCGTGTACAATAAGAAACGTTTTATTCCCTTGTAACCTCCCAAAACAGGTAATGTACTCGCTTGTACAATAAAAGACTACACTTATGTATTGAATCGTGTACAGCTTTTAAGTGGTTTAGAAGTTAATTAAAATGTAATTATTGTTAATTTAATATAAAAAGTAATTAGTGTTATTTTAATAAATAGGTCAAAAACATCGTATTTAGTGTTACGTGGCATGACAGTAATTCTCTTCCCAAGTACAGTACTATATTTTTCAATGTAATACTTAAACATCAGCTTCAAATTTACACAGTTAGCTAAAAGCTAAACGGTGACTTTTGACCAAGCATCAACTCCTCCTCCATTTAATACACACGTTTTACGTCAAGAACAAAACAAATCTAAATAATTTTTGACTGACGTCAACTAAGTGACGGGCTGCGAAAAGAAGCTGCCAACATCCCCAAACTTACCGAGAAGACTCTTGGACGAAGGATCCGTGCACGAGGCGAACTTTGCAAAACAAGACACCGTTGACGAATGGAACTGACGACAGCTCCTCCAAGTCGAAGTCCACTTTGAATTCGAATCTCTTTTTCATGAGAAAGAACGACATGCTGCGTCAAGTGGGCGACGGCAAGGAAGACGGGTGCCAAAAGGCAGCCGGATAAGACAGGACAGGATTTTCTCAACCGACTGCTGCCCCCCTCGGCTGTTCAAAAACTTTTCAAACTTCATACGGGCTTCTCCTTCCCACCCATCTCGTGCCCATTGAGACACTCGTGACGTGTCATCATTTCGTTGGCTGCAACGCTTGACAACAAACTTTATTCACCTCTCGAAATTCAAATCTCGCTACACGGGGAGTTTGCTCAAACATTGTGCAATACTTGCATTTCGGCCTCGACGCTCCATTCTGTCACTGAGAAGTCATAAGAAGCAGCTCGTCGTCACAAAACGAATTCAAAAATATGACGCAACTGCAACGTCTACAGCCCCATTTGAAGTTCACGTTAACTAAAAAACAAAAACATTGCAGGTATGCGGGTAAACGTTTTACTAAAGGTCCACCTCAGTTAGTGGCGTATTTTGTTTTTACAGAGCAGTCAGACAATTCTGCCCGTTCAAAGGTAAAAATTCCCAGTAATTATTGTTTGTAGTTTGCATGGGTGTCGAACTGTACTGCATCATCGTGGGGCAGACGTGTACATTTTCGGGGGCAGGTGCTAAAGCCCTCCTCCCCGAAAAAGATCCCCCCCATCGCCAATGATTGGGGCATTTCGATGGGGGTGGAGGGCGCACATTCACATTTTTCTGTTCAATAATGCGTGCGCGCGCACGCACACACGAAAAAAGGGAATTTGACATGTGAAATATAAATATTTACACACGCGCACACAACCTCACAAAGATTTGGTCTTCTCGGTGTTCATTTTCATTCAAATGGTGTGTTTTCATGAACCCATGTCTGCTTTTTCCTTTACGTAAAGAAATAAATTTAACATCTTGACTTAAAAAAAAACTCATGGGGATCATTGAAATGATTATTTTATATTTTACATAAAAAAAAATCACAGCACAAAAACAAAAAAATGTCAAAATGTTTGTGCAGTGGTGTCCTCTTTCAGAAGAAAGCATTTTTTTCACTCAAATTTAAAAACTTGGGGCTAAAAATCGTTGCTTGGAGTAGTTGCTAAATCCAGCAGCGTCATTGCTAATTCAGCAGCAATTTGCAATGAAACACCGCCGCCTAGCGGCCACCTACCGCGTTGCACTTAAGGAAACCTTACACTGCGTGTTTCAAACGACACGTCTGTGGAGATGGATAGAGAGATTAGGCCAAACATGTCCTGCTTCGTCTTCGTTCTCTCATTGTAGCACACAGACCGGCAACCAGGAAGTTCACCTGCGGGGGACCATGCCAGAATCTTCGCGTCCACGAGTGGTGTGTGTCGGAGCGTTTTTTAGTTTAGCGTCATTGCTGTTTTTCCGCAGAAAATGCTGCGAATAGCGTCGCAGCCGTCGTAGCTCCGCCCTTGCAACAACTGCATTTCCTCCCAGGGAAGCATTGGAGCGCTTTGCGTTTGGACGGTACTGTACATCCAATATCCGCGCAAGGATTTCAACAGTGGGTTTTTATGTTGAAGCTATAACGTCGTGGGTTGTTTCCAACATGGATTAAAAGCTATTTGGTCTCGCACGCGTCGCTTGCACACGACCTGCACCATGTTTCGGACGTTGCGAAGCGGTTTACTCCCCACAGCCCGGTGCTGGGATGCCGACAGTGAGCGGTCCTACCAGGACCTGTTTGAGAAGCTCGATGCGAATAAAGATGGAAAGGTGGATGTCGCCGAACTGCGGGCGGGCCTGAAGGCGATGGGAGTGTTCCGCCAAGGTGCTGCTCAGGTACAGCTCGGCCGGGCGCTTGTGCGAACTCCGGAGCCCTCCTCGATCGCCTCCCTTTGCATGCATTCATTCCATCTGGAAAGTGCTGGCAAGAATGAGCCAGTTTGTGTGTGTTTGCAGAAAATTGTGATGAGTGGTGACCAGAATAAGGACGGCAGTCTGGACTTCCACGAGTTTACCAAATATTTGAAGGAGCACGAGAAGAAACTGAGGCTAACGTTTAAGAGTCTGGACAGAAACAACGACGGTAGGAATTGCATCACCGTCAAAACACTCTGCAAGAGTTCCTTCATGCTGGCACACATTCAAGTCCGGAACAAATAAGAGACCACTGCTACATGATCTGTTTAGATGAGTGGTTCTCCGACTGGAAACTCCCAAAATAATATAAATATTGTCATTTTGTTTCAGAAAATAAAATGACGTTTGAGTACGTTGAGGTTCAAGAGCAAAACTCACATTAACCAGGTCAAATAAATATTTTAATTGGCTCTTATTTTGTCGCTATATTTTTTGCGTGAAGTGAAAGAGTACTTTTTAACTCAAATTGACAGCTGACTGCAATACTCCATATATGGTAAAGTGATGGCAAACAAAACACAGAAGCAGACGACACTTTTGGTCTGCATTTTTTTGTTCGCTACAAGCGGAGACTTTAGATTTGGCTTTAATTTCATGAATACAAGGAGGACTCAAATAGACACTGGCTATTTTATCTGAAAGTATGCTTCAGAATGTTTTTGTAACATGCAGGAATACAATTTTGTGTTCTCTGTAGTAATTCTTTGAATTTATAACATGCTTATTTTTTTTTATACTCACAGGGCAAAAACAACATGCAGTGTTATTTTTACTTCTGGTGTTAAAATGGGTTTGTGGCTCCTGGTGTGTGTGTGTGTGTGTGTGTGTTATTTTTTTCTGTAGGACTATGCAAAGAGCTGTTTCAGTATTTTGCCGGGTCTTTTCATGCAACTCTTAAAATTTATGCTCGTATTTACAACTGTGCAACTTGGCTCAATACAATACAATACAGGCTCAAATATGTATGAGCCCCCCCCCTGGAAATGCAGGTACTCAGTATGAAATGGTTGTCATGTATTTTTTTCTGAAACCTCCTAAAGCTTACATCACACACTCATTGTCAAGTTTAAAATCCATTGGGGTGCTGCATGATGACAAAAATCACGAACCCTCCCCAACTGCAATCGTTATCTTTATATCAGGGCGGATTGATGCCACCGAGATCCAGCAGTCTCTTGCAGAACTGGGCTTGGACATCAACAAAGTGGATGCCCTGAAAATCCTGCAGAGGTTTGCCCACCAACTTGTGTGTCTATTTTTTTCCAGCTATAATGAAAACACAGTCACGTTTTCCTTTTGCTGTTATGCTTCATCGGCTCTGAATTTGGACTTTTCTGTATTTTGTAAAAGCCTATTAAAAAAATAACAGCAGGAAACGATGAGCTGCGATATAGTGAGGCTTCAATGTCGCATTCAACATCCCATCGCTGAATGAACTTTGCTTTTTTTTTTTTTTTTTTTTCTCCAGCATGGACATTGATGGCACTATGATGGTTGACTGGAACGAGTGGAGAGAACACTTCCTGTTTCACCCCGCACACAACCTGCAGGAGATCATACGCTACTGGAAACACTCTTCGGTACGACTCGTTTGCACACAGACGTGAAATTAAAACGTTCGCTTGTGAAACGGCGTCAATCAATTTGCAGTGCAATCAAGTCACGCGTCGTCGCCCTTTAGATAGACTATATGGATTTTTCTCTCTCCAGTAAACATTTTGACCGCTGCTTAGAAAGACTTTGGCTGTCGAAAATAATTAGGTCAGGTCTGTTGTAGCACTCTCAGCGGCTCTTAATCCAAATTAAGTGTAGAGTGCCTCCTCAGTTATTATTTAGCGTGCGCAGCTTGAGATACATCATGTGGACAAAAGTATTGGCGCAGGGTTCGATTCCGGCTCCGGCCTTCCTGTGTGGCGTTTGCATATTCTCCCTGTGCCTGCGTGGGTTTTCTCCGGGTACTCCGGTTTCCTCTCACCTTCCAAAAACATGCGTGGCAGGTTAATGGAACACTCCAATTTGTCCCAAGGTGTGAGTGTGAGCGCGGATGGGTGTTGGTCTCTGTGTGCCCTGCGATTGGCTGTAAACCGGTTCAGGGTGTCCCCCGCCTACTGCCCGAAGACAGCTGGAACAGGCTCCAGCAGGCCCCGTGACCCTCGTGAGGATAAGCGAATCAGAAAATCGATATTGTGCAAGCTTTTATAGGTCTAACTCAAAAACGTGACGTGCTAGAAAAAGAGCAAAAACATTTTTAAATCAGCATCAGAAATACATTTAGGGACACATAAAGTCATCAAATTTGTTGTTGACCACTGTAAATATTTTTGACCAAATATATGCGGTTGGATAATTTCCCACAGCGTCACTGATGATCTTTGACGGCACTTATTGCTTTAGAATCTCTGGTTTAGTAAAAAAAAAAGAAACACTTATACATCTGGTGCGTGTTTGGTTTGAGAACCAGATAGTACCGTATTTTTGTTCCTCATTATTGGACCACATGATTTGAAATTACCTCTGCACCTCGTGTCACCAGAGGACACACTGCTTTTGCTTTTGGGAAAACACCGCTTATGTTTATCCGAAGCTCTGAAGGGTTCTGTCAACTAGAGCGCAGGTCGTTGCTTATATTTCTTCACAGTTTGGAATCCACCATTCACCTTTAAAATAAAATGCCGCTGATTGACATCGAGCACCGTGCGGCTGTTGTGATTCTTGAGTTTACGGTGGAATCATATTTGTCGGCTGCAGTTTGTCAAATCGTTGCAACATTGTGACATCACACTTCAGAAAAGGAAGTTGGAGGAACTTGTGAATGTCTAATCCGGAATGAAGTAATGAGGTGGCCGATGTGGTCTGTAGGTGCTGGATATAGGTGACAGCCTCGCCATCCCTGATGAGTTCACCGAGGAGGAGAAGAGCTCAGGCGGTTGGTGGAAGCAACTGGTCGCAGGCGCCGTGGCGGGCTCCGTCTCTCGCACCGGTACGGCCCCTCTTGATAGATTGAAGGTTTTCATGCAGGTAAATCCACTTTAACCAAAGGTTTGTCTTTGGTTTGGATGGGGAAATGTCAACGGCGTTGTTTTATTCCATCCAGGTTCACTCCACTAAAACCAACAAAATAAGTCTGGCAAAAGGTTTCAAGCAGATGATCGTCGAGGGAGGTGTAACTTCGCTGTGGCGGGGCAACGGCATCAATGTTCTCAAGATCGCACCTGAGACGGCCATCAAATTTA